TCATCATCGAGTAACAGCGAGACAAAAAAGATACCAGATACAAGGGTCCGACCAGACGACCGGATTTTGACGGCTGCTGTCCGGTTTTTTTTAGGAATAGAATTAGGGAATTGGGAAATAGGGAATTGAGGAATAAAAACTCCCATTGTAAATTAATACGTGAATTTTAATGAAAAAAAAAAAAACCATAAATATGTATTATTTATTAAACTATAATCGTCTTTCGTCAAACAATGGTTTATCGTCGCTGACAAATATAAATGAAATAACCTTATTATCCTACCTACTTAACTTCTCACGTACAACAGTGGCCGCTCCCGTCCCCAGTATCAGCTCTTTTTTTTTCTAACATACCTACATTTTGTACATTTCCCGTTTTTGATACGTTTTTTTTTTTTCGGTTTTTCTCATTTGACGAGAAAACTCTGAAGAAAATCGAAAAATGGCCTCCTTAAAGTACCACCCCAAGAAAATTTCCTTTTATAAAAGGGTCTACATCGTATAGATTGGAGTTAGCTTTCTGGTAGAAAAAGTGTTCACATAAATAAAATAAAAATAAAATAAACATCTTTGCAAAACCAACACATTATTCGCTACACTCAGAACCTAAAAATATGCATTAAAGAGGCTGGAGCAGGTACAAATAATCCCGTGACAGAGGCCAATAGCTGGATAAAACTTCGGGACTTGGGTTTGACGGATTATTTACACTAGTTTAAAATTTCCAACAACTCTACTAATGCGTGGCCGCGGAAATGTGTCATTATTATACAAATTAATGGCGTTGCTAAATATATTATACGCATACATCACTAAAATTCCTGCTATTTTAATTGTCGATATTTCGTCGAAGAATGCGAATAGATGAAATCCCCCCTCCCGGCCGTTTTCTAATCAACACAATAACGACTAATTTCCGTCCATTTTCAAAATAATTAGAATCCGTCGAATCCATTCGAGTCCGTTAATTATGTTTATTGCTATTAGGCCCTTTTTTTTTTCATTAATTGAACAGAGTGGCGTAAAATTCCGTTTACTTGGCATGTGCCCGCGCGTGCGGAAATTTATCGGCGCGGCGCGTGGGCAGCGGTCCTATCTGAAAATAAACTGCCGACGTTCGATACCTAGGACATACGAAATAAGAAAACACGCGCAGGCGCGGTGAGAACAGTTTAATAATATTTCATAATTATTATTAAATAATATCCGTTTTGGTACAGCAGGGGTTCCCAATCTTTTTTTTCTGTCAAGCGAATCAATGGGGCGTCGATTGTCCGTATACGAATGTTTTTCGAGAGCACCAATAACACTGTGCTAGATCCTGTACAATCATACCCCGAGCCAAATGTATTCAACGTATTTATATTTTATGCGCGCATAATAATTCGTAAATCGTCGGCCGCCCGATAAAACTCGACATTTTCATTTTACCACTAGGCACGTTTGTTAGTGTGAACTAGTGACGCACACAAACGAATAATATTACTATCGAATTATATTTGAATAATTTCCGAATAATTTAAGGTATTCGACCATGTGAAATAATATATTCGAATAAAAATCGTTCTATAATCCGTCGAAAATGTCTCCGATTATTATACCGATAGTATAATAATACAGACAATTCAGGAGTGCTCGTGACTATATTATTACAATAGGTGTTATCGGTATTGACCCCGGGAAACGTTGTCGGTTTATTTTTTTTGTCCGCGATAAATTGTCAAACGCGTGTGTTCATTTATTTCGCCGTACCCACAATATTACCAAATAATCGAAGAAAAAGAAAATACCGAATAATAACGATCGACAACGCGTGTGTCCGTACTACGTACAATATCTACTGAAAGCGCGTCCGAGTAACGGACGCGTCTGAGCCTTTTGTAACAACGCGCTTCATGCGTCAATTATGCACGTCCCGAAATGAGGGGGGGGGGGAAAGGTTCCCCTTTGCGTTTACCGATTATTTCGTGGAACACGCACTGGAGACGGCCGTGGAAGATGTTTTTTATTTTTTTCTTCGTCTTTGTTCGTTTATACAAAAGGTACCTATCGACCGAAATCAAATAAACGCGTTCAATGCTGGCGTCGGTCAGGACTGACTATTTCAATAGAAATAATGACGGTCGTGTCGGCCCAACACCAAGACCCTGTCGTAAATCATTTACTTACTATTATATATGAACGTCAGAACATTTTCGTATTATTTGCCCGTTTCGGTTAAAAATCTCTCGTTTTTAAACGAGAATTAAAACGACCTAGGCACGTTGTATGTACGTGTATATATTTTTTTTCAACCTTCTGACAAACGCACAACACGCCATAATAATATCGTTAAAACGCGTGCGGTTATAATATTATAGTGCGATACACCCTGTATAGGTCGGCCGAAATTCTAGAGAAAAACAAATTTCGACTCGGAACACAATAACGCGGAGGGAACGAGTCCGGTATACAGGCTTAATGGCGGTGGTTGGATGGTTTACGGGGGAAAACAACATAAATCTAATGACCAGTGGAATTCGGTGTATGCATTATAAGTGAAATGCGGATTCTCCTAATTACCCTGTTCAAACGTTTTTAAATTATTTCTATTTAATGTTCATTACTTGATCAATGTTACGCGCAAAAATTAAACGCAATGAATATTATAAAAAAGACCCGGAATTATATGCACTCAAAACGTACGAAATGTGCATGCATTTATGCACTGGTTATCATTAAAATATGAGAAAATATGCAAACAAACATTAATGTAAATTAAATTAATTTAGTTTAAAAATGTATATAATCAATTAAATACATAATATGGATTAAAAAAATATTCTTTGATATTCGACTATAATGCAATGAAAAATCATATAATACAGAAATATGAAGTACCCATAAAAAATGACAAACTATGCTATATAAATCTTTGTATTTCGGATCTATTAACTACAATTCAAACTTGTATCTTATCTAGCTAATTTGGGACTGTTGAAACAAAATGTGCAAATGCATATAAATCCGGGCCCTCATTATAAAATACGAGGTATAAAAAAAAAAAAAAAAACATAATGTAATAGGTATTAATTTGAATATTGTCTGGGGTCTGCTAAACAGGAAAACAAGTGATACAAGCAGAATTTTTCCGTGAATTATCTCGCGTTTTTAGTTATAATTTCGTGAATCGATATGAAACATTCCGGTTTTATTAAATAAATAATTCGCGTTTTTATGACCGACTTTTAGGTATCTTTGCGTAATGGCCGAAATTAAATGTAAGGTTACTAAGTTAAAAGGAAATAATAAACAATTTTTTCATTTTGTTCGGTTTTTTATTTTGTATGTTATTAGGGCATATTTCAGTACTTTTTGGTGCAATAAAATCTGAGTCTGGGTTATATTTTTCAATATTTAGTCTGTTGACGATTACCTATTCAATATTGTTTATATATCATAATAATTGTAGTTATTTTCAAAATACTTTTACAAAAAAATATTTAAATATGGTAATTTTATAATATAAGGTTTTACTTACATACAACTTTTTTTTTATCTGAAGATCGACGATTCGAAAATAACGTAAATATCCATTAATGTGTAAAATTAATTTTAAAATTATCAAATATGGAAACAAATTAATTTCATATAATAAGTTATACTACGAATTCCTCGTTTATATCTATAATATTATTCATATTATTATGTAAAATCAAAATTGTTTTGAATTTTATCTGGTAATATTATAAATCCGTTGAATGGTTTGTAGTTACCGCCATGTGGCGGTAGAATTTAGACTTTTAGCGAGACGTATATATTTTTCTGGAAAAAGTGTTAGGTACCTATAATGCGTACGACTAGTAATTTGATCAGGTTGAGAAGTTTTAAGATCATGAGCAAAAGTAGTAACCAGGAAAAACCGCGAAAACCTAACTTAACCTATAATTATTTTAGATCTTGTTATACGAAAAATTTTGCCTCGAAAAACGAGCCCACACATCAACCTGATTTTATAAGTTTATGTATCCAATTTACAAACAGTGGCGTATTTATGAGGGCGAATCTAGTGATGGATCCCATAGATTTTATACATATATATATATATTTATAATTAAATGTTTAATTTAACCATGTATAGATTGCTAATATTGAATTTAAAAATAAACAGAAAGTAAACTCCGACCTATCCATAATTATTTTATTTGCATTCGTATTTAATGTTTATCTATAGATAAATAGACTGAAAAAGACGGACATACTTCGCACGGGGGGGGAGGGGGGCACCGTTGTAAGTGAGCAATTGTAAAGGTAGGATATATCATAAGGGAATTTGATGTATATCTGTATGCAACGATAAATCATTGCTAACGAAATACGATTCTGAGCGAAGTTCGGTTATACATCTTTCGAAAGGTGATATATACGATTTTAGTAAAAATTTGATAATAATATTCTTATTAAAAAAACCTGCATTACATTCAATTTTTTTTGTTTCTTAAACACAAAGTATAACTTATAATGAACCTCTTGTTAAATTTTTAAACATTTCAGTTTAGTCTAACAAATTTATTCACAGAGTACCAACCGAATATAAATTACGTAAAAAACTCACAAAATTAAAGCGTCTTTAAATAGTTCAAGAATGTTTAAAATATTTTGAAAATAAGACCGCGTCTAAAAAAAGCAAGGTTTTCTCTCGAAATTTAAAGCCCCTACGAATATTTTATCTGAATTCCAACGAAAAAAAAAAACCAAAATTGAAAATAATAAATCTCCTAAATTACCCCGTTTTTTTTTTTTTGGTTTTTCCCAATTATTGTGGAGACCATTTGAAAAATCGAAAAGTGACCTCTCTAAAAAACCAACCAGATAAAATTTCCTTTCATATAAAGTACTACCTACACTTGATAATTGGAGAAAGATTTCTGGTAGAAAAGTTGGTCACAGGTAGAAAATAATAATAAAAAAATAAACATCATTGTTTTAAAACCAATTAATTTCTCGCTTCGCTCAGGATCTAAAACTAATGGAGCGATTTTTATAGTATAATATACAATATTAAAATTAATTAAAAGTTTAATTTAATTCAGCCGTCGTATGTAAGGGCGAGTGTGTGTGTGTGTGTGTGTGTGTGTGTGGCAATTAAAACGCCCACGGCCCGCGGTTTAATGCGTCGAGTACGTGCCACGTGCGCCGTGTTTTATGTATTAAATATTTCATTTTTGAGTGTGGGTAGGAGGATAGTAGTGGAGCCACACAAATGATACTCCGCTACTCTCTCCCTACTTAAACTTCAATGTGAAATGTCTCGTCAACGGGTTGACGGAAATCAAAAATTTAAAGCAGTTTTATTTATTTAAAGCAGTATTCCATCTATTTATGACATATTTAATATAGGTTCTCGTTTGAAAAGCCAAAGTTGGTAAAGCCACAGGATATTCCTTAAATGTTGTGAAAGATCTAAGTGTTCGAAAATATCGGATTTAGTTACACTAAAAAATCCAAAAATCATAATTTGAATAAATGCAAAATTTAACAAAACAAATCGAGTGAGCATGCTTAATGAATTAGTCTGTTTTTTTTTTTTTTTTTTTGTAATATTCGTTCGCTTCGGAGGAAACGTAAAATATTATGTCACTACAGCAGCGTGTTTAACACACAGATTAACAATTTTTTTTTTAAAGATCCATCAAGTTTATTGTATAGAGTTTTGACACGTGGCAATTTAAAGCACTGCGAACAATACGGCAAATTTTGGAGAAGCAGAAAAAATTGTGTTGAATATTTATTTTGCTTTTACGTAGTTAAAATACTTTATTTTACTATTTTATGTTTTAAAATATCTATTATATAAAATGTAACTCAAGGTTAGAGAAAAAGTAATCTCTGGGTTATCTTTCCCACTAATAGCATTATCGATAATGTTCTTCATTTTTTATCGTAGTAATGAGTTCAATACTGTAGACATGAATAATTTAATTAATATTATAATGTTATTATTTATTAATTATTATGTAATATTTTTTTTTTTTTTTTGTATACAAATATATAGCAAACATTAAATTTAAATCGAAAAGTTTTTATTTTTTTATTTTACTCAAATGAATAAACAGTTACTAAATATTGAGAATATATTTTTTTTATGGAAAGACAATTGTGGTACAGAAGTGATTATTTTTAGGAAAAGACGGAAAATTTCATTCGGCATAGCAGCTGCAAATTGTTCATTGTTCAATTCGTCCATTATAACCGATATATTGTTATCTACTGTGATACTGTATATTTGAATCATATACCAGGGGTACTAAAACTGTGTCTCAGTGCACATTTCTAATAGGTTTCCTAAATGTTAAAATCCATAATTTATAACTGGTGGGAAAAGGTATCAGTGAAAACCGGAAAAATAATTTTGACGGACAACAATGACGTGTTATTTATTAGTGCCTATTCAGGTTCGTATTTAAGAGAAACAATGTCTATTATGATGCATGAATTGTATACAAAATTCAATCTAAATATACATTATTAGTATATTTAGATTGAATTTTTGTATACTGACATTGTCTAAAATAAAATATGGTTGTTTCTTACACCTAACCTTACACTGTTGAAAATGAGTTCTTTTTGAAAATCACAGCGACGGATCTATGCCTATTCAAATAATTCATTACACCTATTGAACATTATTATTCATATAATTCCAGTATCCATTTTAATATTTTAATATACATTAGAAGGACGCCATACCCGTTAAAATACTGTCGTCGCACAGTAGGGCAAGATTCATTGAATCATGTAAAAAACTCATAGAAGTTATATCTGATGATATGGAGCTAAGATATAAGTATTTCATTGCATGTATAATGAAAGTAAATAAATTTAATAAATTCGTCTTCCAATATTTTATTCAATATTTTTAATATACATTTTTTTTTAATAATTAGTATGCCTCAGCGCTACAGTTTGTTTTAGAAGGAGGGGTTCATAAAATAAAAACAATTTTAATTTTACTATAATTCTTTTTAGAAAATTTTTGGTGATTGGAACTTTCGTTAAAGTATGGTTTTTATTTTCTACGATCTTTTGAAAATTTTAATAATTTTCTTTTCAATCATAGTAATATTGTTTATCAACATAAATAACCATTATTGATTGATTGAAACTAACTAATTATTATTATACGATAATGTTATTACATAATATCAACTCACGGAAAATAAAATCCTTGTAATGTGCTCTGACCATAATAACTGATTAAATATTCTAATATTCACATTAGCAAAAACTTCAAAAAATCATAAAAAATAAAAGACTATACTTTAAAAAAAGTTTCAATCTCTTAAAATATTTTAAATGACTATTTTGAATTTTTTAAAAAGTTCTAGTGAAATTTAAAATTTTTTATTTTAAGTCCCTCTCCTCCAAAAAAAATGTTCATATTTAACTGAGCGCTAAAGCATATTAATTATTTAAAAAAAAAAACATATATTAAAAATATAAAATAGAACAAAAGTTATTGCATTAGTCGAATCCTTGTGGAACACTCTGTACATACCAAGAAAAGTTATATTACATTAAATTACATATAAACAAGAATTTAATACAGTAAAAAAATGTGCATGAAAAATATCAGTCTTCCAGTAAAATTAAATTGTCAGAAAAAAATACAAAATTTGTTTGAAAAAGTACAGGAGATTCGAACCCGTTACCGACGAGGACGAGATTATTTAATGATAACCCATTCAATTACAACAACATGTTTGAAATCATATAAATTAACTAGTATAAGATAATAATATCCAATAAGGTTAGTTTAAAATTGTTATAACTTCGAAAATTATAAAACAGTTAAAAATTACTATTACATTTTTTTCATTATTTAGTGCTTTCCACGAGTTTTTAAAAAAAAGGGGTAAAATTAGGCAAAAAATTAAATTGTTATCATTAACAACAATATCTACTGCTTCTACATATGTATTAATAAAAGCCAAATCAATCACGGAACACAATTAAATCTCTAAATGTTAATTTTTATTTGAAAACTTCTATTTATATTTTATATAAATACATACAATTTGCATAAAACAGCCAAAAATTCTAAATCTTAAATTTTTAAAAATCAGAAACATACCTGAGCTAGATGGATCCATATTTTATTTTATGAAATTAAAATTATAAAGAACCCAAAAGAATATTTTATAATTGATACTCGTGTGTTGTCGTGACGTATTATTAGCTTGAATTAATGAGCGTGGAGTGAAGTGGGTTCAATATTTCTAATCTGATCACCCGTGAAAAAATTCCACAGGTCGATAAATATGATTATTGCGATTTGCGAATACTAACTTTTAAATCATGGATTTTTTTTTAAATTAATGTCTAAAAATTGTTCCTTTTGCCCCACTGTGCGCCAAAATGTTGGTTGAGTAGGATAATTAATGTTGTATCGTACGTTTTAATATTAGAGTAAATTAGCCTACAGCGAAACTTAAATGCAAGAACATTGTTCGTGTTGAATGTTGGTGTTTTTTCATTATGTATTTTAATTTTTAAGCAAGATATAGTTCTTTTTAAATTGTGATATTTCACATACTCATATTTCGTTTAAAAACTAAAATATCGAAAAAAAAACATTGAATTAGGGGCACAGCTAGCAATGTTCTTACTTATAACTCAGATAATACGTCAATTTACTCTAATATTAAAACTAATCGTTCAACATTTGTATTACTGAACGCAATGAGGGTGTAGGTAGCGTCCTGCAAATATAATTATGTAAAGGGGCAAGTTAATAAACACCCAGTATGTTAAATATAATCAATTATTAGAAGGTAAAAAACTGAAAATAAGTATCATAATTTTTATTTATATTTTTTAATTAAGTTGTTATTTTTAGATTCTATGTTAACGATTGAAAAAATGTATACATATATTTTAGATTTTGAGTGGAACGAGTTTTTTTTATGTGAACACTTTTTCTACTATAAAACATACTTCGATTATCAAGTATAGCACCTTTTCTGATAGAAAATTTTCTCTGGGTGGTACTTTAGAGAGGTCATTTTTTGAAATTCTCATTAATATTCGAAATAATGAGGATAACCTCGGTCTTTATGTTAAAAAAGATTGAAAGATAAAAACAAAGTTGTCATTGGCAACCGTTTTTATTTATTTTTTGTTATAATTAAATTTTTATTATTTTAATCTTTTTGAAACAATCATTTTTGTCATAAAAACGCACATTATTTTAATAATTTTACCATAATATGACATAATACCAAATATTATATTGTTGACAAAACAACATTTTAAACTGAACTCGGCTCAGAATCATTTTCTTCGTTAGCAATAGTTTATCGTTGCTGACAGATATACATTAAATTTCCGTCGATAGCCTACCTTCCCAATTTCCCACCTACAACAGTGGCTGTGAACCCACGTTCAAAGTATGTCCGTCCTTTTTTTTTATATTTGATAGGTTTTTTATTACGCTACTGAAGTAACAATGACACAATGTAGACATTCTTATAATATTACTAATGGATTTAATATGTTTAATATATTATTAATAAACTACAAAATAGTGTTTTAGATTTTTTTTTTTTGATCATCATCATTTGTTTAACCTTCACAATGATTCCAGTCATAAAATCGGACACGTAATGATCTAATAATTAACAGTAATCTAACCTCTAACGTTAAAATAGTCTACAATTCATAGATAAATAATAAATAATAATGATATATAACACGTACTAGTCATTTCAAACCACCGTAGTGTTCTCTTTACTTCTTTAACTAATTTACATTAATATAGGTAATACGAAATGTTTAAATTAAATCAAACAAACAATACACAAATCCCGTAATTCCATAAAAAAACGAATTAAATTTGCATTTAAAATAATTATTATAACTTAACACTTCAAAATCGATTGTCTTGATCAGGAATAATTTCAAAACGACAACACTTATCATTTAACAACCAATTATAGTACAGTCGGTTAACAATAATTAATTATAACGATAATTTGTTTAAAATAAAAACGAAATTATTTCGACAATTCATTGTAGCACTAGTCGATCTGGCACTGAATTCGCCATTATACTGCAGCTGGTTTGCGAAATGTACAGCCGCAAATTTATACGGGATAAATTTACCAAGTGGGATAGGTGAAGCAGATGAAAAATAAGCAAACTCGTTTCATATATACAGGTTACAAAGCGTCCGGTAGTCCGCAAGGAGAGGGTTATAACCTGGTTACCATATCTCCGATGGTCGGTAAGGAGAGAGTTATAACCCGGTTACCATATCTCCGGTGGTCGATAAGGAGAGGGTTATAACGTAACTTAACAGTATACAATATAAGAATCACTACACTACAGCGCCACAGTCAAATACGATATTCTCATTGGTTATAATAATATCAACATATAATATATAACAACATAATCGTCCTATCCAAATTACCACAGTACCATATTCTAGTCATAATTGAAATAAGCATAATTATTATTTTTATTATAATGAATCATGCATGAGATTAATAATATAAAATTAACACCGAACAGATAAATACAAATATTTTAGGTAACTACTATTTAGGTAACTTTATTAATTTGATAGCCAAGTGAATTAGGTGCTAACAAAAATTATTATATTATTATTGTAAAATTACCTCTCCAATAAGGTAGCATAACTAGACCCCAAATGCAACAAACTCTGATACCTCTTTTATGCAAATATTATTGATCGGAGCAAGTCGCATTGTCTCATCGGAAACTTTTTCACAGATAGGAAATAAAAAAAAAATCTTAGTAAAACCTACATAACTATTACATTCAATCGAAATTTAAAATCGTCGTCGAAAAGTATTTACCGAAATACGAGACAAAAATTTAATTTTAAGAAGTTATTGATAAAACTTAGTTAACCGATAAATCACGGGGCTTTTTGAATTATGGGAATGATTATTTTACAGAACATTATAACCTATTGGATACTAAGTTTATATTATTTGAACCGAACACTGTTATAATATTATTGTGTGTCGACAAAAATATGTTTGGCCCGTAGGAATGCGGTTATGTAGGTATACACCAGATTATATTATTATATTATTTTTGTTCGTAACTGGCCCGCGGGCGACAGCTGTTTACAACGTGACTAACCACCCCGAATATGATGTTATTATTGTCTGTGCGATGTACCCTTACCTCGCCACCCGTCCTTTAACATGAATAATAAATTACGGTTCGTACAGCCGTCCAATGTTCTTTCCTATTATTTCCCCCTCCCCTCTCGTTTGGCGTATAATAAATATCATCGTCACCGTTTACAACAACGTAGCTGCGGCAGAGAAACACGTTTTCGATCCATTACGAAGGGGCAACAATAACGACGTCGAGGCGACGGTTACGGCAGCCCGGTCACACGGTCGGACACCGACATAATATTAAAACATTACAGTTTTGCTCTTCGCGGGGTTTATTTTTTTCGATAAGAACAGCCATTAAGATATTTTCAATAATAATACCCATGGTTCCAAAATGTCTGACGGTTCAACGTTATCGGAAGTAGATTCGTCAGTGCCTCGGGAGTAGCGTTTTCTAAGGAGCAATGTAAAGAATGATTCGGAAGGTCGGCCGGCTTCAATTCTCGGACGAGTTGAATTTTGTATGCTTTTAAACCAAGGTCCTTACGTAAAATACGCCAAGTTGTTGCATACGACAGGCCAAGCTGTTGAGAACGGCACCGAATCGATTCATCACGGTCATCGCGTACACTTCCAGCTACCGCCACTATATTTTCTTCACTACGTGTTGGATACGGCCTATTTGGTCGTGTGTTATCCAATAATGAAAATTGAGTTTCAAATTTTACAATTATGTGTTCGGTAGGCCGATCATGCGGACCATAAGTTTCTCTAAACTTACGAAAATCAGCGTTCTACGAGGACTTTTTAGTAATAAAGTTGAATAATTTGGTAGACGCTATGCCCGGCTAAGTCTTTACACGATGAGATGTCAAACAGCACTAAACAAAAATAACATGATAGTTTGATACGACTCATTCGTTTTCTGTCATAAAATCCCATTTTAAAATAGTACCTCTTAATGAATCAACCATGATAATACACAAATTCTATTTGTTTTTGAGTTTATATTTAAATTAAAAAAATATTTTATTTTGGTGAAATAAAACTGGATGCCCCGAATTTCCTTCTGTTTTTAATCAAACTTCGTGATGGAGCAATTTACATTTTTAAGCGCCTTTAAAATTACTTCATATCGTGCATTTCTACCTATTTGTTGCCTATTTATCGCCTTTATTGCGATTTTTACTCAATTTGAGTACTAGAATTTTATTGATAAATTAAATTGGAAATTTTCAAAATATTTAACACCCTAAATTACAATAGTTTTATGCTTGTCCCCCCAGAGTAAAAATCTTATAACACCAATGTACTTAATAAAAACACAAATAAATTATAAATATAACTTACCCATTTCAGCCACTTATAAATCTAATAGTTTTGATGCTTGTATAATTCTTCCATTATCCTAAAAAAGAAAAAAATCATACTATAAAATGTTTTTATTTTTACATTTTAAAAATAAATAAATCCATACAAATAATTTTACTGATTTTCAATTTGCCTATAATAGCCTCTCCAAAATACCCATTTATATTTGACATAGGTTTAAACTATGTTTTACTGATAGGATTGAAGTTCCAGAATTTTAAATTATTATGTAGACAGAAAAACACAAAACAATTCATAATAAAACCAATATGTTTTTCCTTATGTTGAGAATCTCCTAATTTCTTATTTTTAGAACACAATAAATAAATCAGTTTTCTGTTGTTTTTTTTTTTTTTTAAATATACTTGACAATTTTTGCAAATTGCGGAATATTCTCAAGTAATACCTGGAATTAATGCAGCATTTTAGAGAATATTTAAATAAATGTATTATGGAGATAAAAAAATTAGTTTCTAATTCCTATACTATCAAAGCAACAATGATACTAAAAATTAATTTTTATGATTTTTTTTAAAACCAAAATTATTTAAATGCAATCATTTCAAAAAACAAAATATGACAAAAGATTGTAATAGAAAATTGATGAGCAATAAACATCAGAGTAAGAATATTCTGACAATTTTTTTCAACCTGACAACAAAAAGTAATGCAATCAAATCAATCAAGTGTTTTATTATAATATTAAACTGATTAAAACATACTTTAATAATTACAGTAAAATATAAAAGTAATTGTTTTTAAAAAAAATTGAGGGGTTTTATTTTTCAGTAAAGCTTTAAACTATTTATATATTTAATAAATCTTGAGACCTGAAGGATCTTTAGACATAAATACGACTGGGTGTATGATTTGAAACCATATATGAAAATATAATTTTGTATTTATATACAAATACTTACTTGTGGTAGTTCTGCATACACTTTTCTGTTTTTAGATTTTCCACACTGATCAGCAGAGACTGGCCTAGTCCCTGACACAGACTCATTACTGGTATTTTGTTTAGCGGAATTTTCTCCTTCAGTTGAATCTATAATATAAAAAATATTAATGAACTATACTAAATAATATTCTTTAAGGCACTTAGTACCAATGTTCTTTTGCCCACAAAGAAAGCTCTACAGAAATAGTGATACTATTCAGTAGAATAAACCAAATCGTATTTATTTTTTTTTAAATTAATAAAGGAAAATATTACACAAACTGCATTGTACTCCATTTTCAATATTTTATTCTCAACATTTATAATGTCTTAAAAAAGTAAATTTTAATAATCTTTTTCTATTACTTGAAATCCGAATTAAAAAATCAAGACTTCAATGTGGTCTAAAGATTGTTGTTTATCAATAAAAAAAATGTTTATAAGAATATTGAACTGACAATGAGTTATCACTATTTCTTTGTCATTTAAAAAAAAGCACCATTCTTTCCCCCTAAATGAGTATAAGATAGTAGATCAGTTGGAAAATAAAATATTTAAAATGGTAATTATTTTAATTAAATAATTTTTCAAAATTGAAAGATATGAAAAACTGTTACTGGGCCCTTTAACTATTAAATGTATTAAAATAAATAAATGATTGATATGAATTAAAAAAACCAATTTAATATATTTCATAACTAAAATGTTGGCATTTGCTTAAAAAAGCACTTTTTTATTTGAAGCATAATTCAGTAATTATTGAAACACAAAATTAATTTACTGAACCATTATTCAGTTCTTACAAATTCAAATTGTTAATTTATGCAGTCAGACATGGTTAACTCGAAGTTGAAGGGGGGACTGGCGGAAAAGTTCAAGTTATTGAATTTTCATTTTATTTTATTCAATTTAATACTGATATCACAAACAACCATCATAAAATTATAAATACTGAACCCTAACAAAACATTGAGGTTTATATGAGTGGCATTATCGGATGGTAAACCAGTTATATCAACTTTATTAGTATTCATAACATTAATAAACTTTTAAATTAACTTTAATAGATGTACATACATATTTATAAGAATAACCAACAATTGTACCATATCATAATAATAAAATTATAACTTTGAGTTATTTATAAAATATTTACAAATTTTTATATTGTTTAAATAAGAAATTCTAGGGACCCTGGAAGTTCTAGGTATCAATGATTTTGAGTTAATAAAGTTCAAGTTATATAAGTTTGACTGAATAAGTTGAATACAAAATGTTCAATGAAAAAAAAAAAATGTAGTTTCTTTAAGAAAAATCAATGGATATCAATAGTATTAATTAATTTCTATAAATAACCATTAACAGCTAAAATGTTTAAGTCATCAGCCATCTGGTCAGTTTTCAACTACCAAGGATTTATTTACACTTTTTAGTAGGTCACCTACCTATACAATTAATTACTTCAATATGCGATTAATATATAATAATTATTGTTTGATTAAGTATGGTGCAATTATCATAACTAAATTTTTGCATTGCTACTTTGATATGCTATCTACCAGTACATTTCTAACTCAATATACAGTTTATATTTATTTTTAAGAATTTATATCATTTTTCAAAAATACATGTTCAGATGTATTTTGAATTATTACATTGTCATCATTTAGGGATACCTATAGATGTGATGACCAAACCTGATACTGTTGTATAAAATATAATATCTGATATATATATAATATCTGAAGCACTAATATTTTAAGATTTTTCTTTAGGTGGCATTAAGGCTCTCATACGCTACAATAATCCATCAATAAATCATAAAGTGTATAGACAAAACCAAACAGTTTTTATTTTTGTCCATTCTTGACTTTAAAAACTGGTTTAACCAATGATTTATCATAGTGTATGGGGGCTTTTACAGTAAAGGAGTATGTCTAAAGCCTTGTGCTTACTTCAAAAAGTAAGTATATTTGTGCCTACTTAAATGTGCCTCTCCCAACTTTCAAAAATAATTGGATCTGATATTAGTTAGAGTTAATAGATTTTTATAATCTAGATAAACATTAGCCTGGGCCAATGTTGAATTGGAATAAATAAGTACTTTGTATCAGTTATCAAGCATTTTAAAGATTCAATTTCCAAATATTTATTGATTACACTAGTAGTGTGGAACCACCAACATATACAGGGATCGCCACTGTACATCAATATTTTGCTTTTTTTTTTTAATTCTTATGGTGAAAATTGTGTAAAACAAAAATATTAAAAATATACAAAATCTAAAAAGAAAAACACAATTAAGGCAAATATTATAATTTGTCTTTGAAATAGCTATTGATTGCTACACAAGTATTCTGAAAAATCTACAGCAATTTCAAAATATTACATCCAATGCTTAAATTAATAAGATTTTGCACTGATGCAGTAGCCTATTTTGGTTTTTCTGATGAAAAATATTGATTTTGGAAATTGTGTCATATTGTGTAACATAAAATGTGTACTCTGACTAAAAAAAAAATGTTGTATAATTTATTTTTTATTATAATATTTTTTTCAAGTAATTTATAATTCAAATAGCCCCAAAATTATTATTAAAGTCATATGTAAAAAGAATATTTAACTACAATTATTAGTAAATAATTATTTAATTTACTAGTGTTTACTATTTAGAGGTATATAGTGATTCAAAAAGGTTTTGTTTTAAACAAAAGAATGTATGTATAAGTTAAGGTTTATTTGATACATTAACTTGTATAGATATTAATACATTCAATTTTTTTTTTCTATCTAAACAGTAAATATCTTTTAATTTAAAAATATGGTTTGTTAACTATTAGATACTAAAAAAAGTCAATGGTGGGAAATATTTTCCTAATTTTCCTGGTAAATATGCTACTGCACTAATACATATTTGTATTATTAATACATATATATATATATATATATATATATATATAGTATTAATCATAAATGATTATGCATTGGAAAATTTTGGTATTTTACAATCACTATTCACTATCTATTGTTTCAATAATTAAGAACAAATATCAATATTTTCCACAATATATATTGGTATATCAGTATTCTGTTTTTCGATGTTTCAACGACAAACAAATTTCATAACAGACTGGTGCACACCTACCAACATTTTTTAAAATTTGTACAATTTGAAAATTATATTCAAGATTTTAATGATGACTTTTCCACTAATCTACTGCACAATACCCATTTAGGGGGAGAGGCACAACTGTTTTTACCAATGAATTTATTTCACAGGATTAGGTATTAGATTGGGAATGGGTGTAAAATAAATTATAATCAATCATTATCAATATTTTTTTTATCTTTATTTGGGAATTTTGCAGATATTTTTATATCACAAGGACAAGTTAGACCATAGTAGACCGCACTTACGAGGTAGGTGCACATTGAAGAAGCTCCCAATTTTTAAATAACTTTTCTTGCCTTACCTAGAATTTCATCAGACAGAGATGAAAGCTTTTTTTAGATAAACACAACAGTAATTAAAACAAATAATACAATATTTTGTATAACAAACATTGTATTATTACCTTCTTTCTTTCATCTTTATTTTCCTTTGAAGAACTCTTCTTTTTCTTCTTCTTTCTTTCGTCCTTGTCTGAAGCAGCAGCACTGTTTGCATAGCTGTACATAAGCATAAGTTCATGAATAGGCATGTTACTTTCCTGTATTAAAAAAAAGTTAAACAATATAATACAATTATTATTATTATTATTATTAGATCATTTTAGATACTTCTTCTAGAAATCGTATTTCCATCGTAAGGTCTTCCAATTCCGGAAGTGCTTCTTCTTCATTCATTGTAGTCTCATTGTCCACTTCATCACCTTGTTCATAATCTTTATCGATATTTTTGTCATCAACTAGTAATGGACCAATTTCATCATCTATTTGGTCAGCAATAGCATCTACAAAAAATACAAAATAAAATATTTAGCATAATGGAATAGGTAGGTATTTAATATTTATATTAAAAATAATTACTTGTCAATTAAGATTCATCTGGTTCTAGCGCTACCTATAAAATATAACACACTTTAATTAGTCAATAAATATATAACATGATGTAGAATATATTTTTTCAAGTTTGTAAAATTTATAAATTATTATAGGTACCTACATAACATGTGCATTTTAATTTATTTGGTATAATGTAAACAATAGTATTGAGGCAACAATAAACCTAATTAACGGCCCCGGGAATATCACCATTGTCATTACTGTGATTATTTAAAATTTTAATGTTATTAGTAAAAACAATCATATTAATTTTATGTATATCTAGTAAAATTATAGTTTTCCTTATTATTAATATAATTATTGAATTATATTAGGTATCATATACATTTTAAAAATGTTTATCTTCAAATAAAATTGTTTAACAAGTTTATATAGGTAGTGCCAGATTAACCTATAAGCAAATTAGCACTGCTTAAAGGGGCTGGAAGAGGTACAAATTATCATGTAAAACAAGCCATAAGTTAGACAAAACTATAGGACTTGGGTTTGACAGATTTTAATTTTAAAAACAAATTGAAAAACTTTAACAACTCTACTAAAGCCTTGGAAATTTAACATTGTTATAAAAATGAATGGCATACTTATATATATAAAAAAACTGAAATCCCCTCTGCCATTCTTGAACTAACAACAATGACTAATATTAATATCAATTTTCAAAATTAAAATCTGTTGAATCCAAGTCCAACAATTTTATTTAGTTTTTTGGCATTTTTGTCATTTGAATAGAATCATAACGTATTTTTGATAAAATCTGTATCATTGACATGGGCATGTAGAAATTTATCGCTTCTCCTAATTGAAAATTAACTTCCAATATTTGATTACTAAAATATAATAAAAGATAAAAAAAATTGTATTCTATAGCAAATAGAAGGAGTATTCTTATTTTGATTTTCAAATTTCTATTAGTCAGGCGTCTGCTGATGTTTGAAATATTGAAACCTAGAGAAAGATTCTTTTGTACAATACATACAACAGTATTTGTTATCTTTGATGCTATGGACAATAAAAAAGACCTGTATTATGAAAAAAAATTAAACTCTTTTATTCAAAAGAAAGAAAAATAAGGGAAATATCTATGCCCTAAAATGGATTAAAAAAAAGTAATTATAAATATTACAAATCTATTGTGTTAATGAACTATAGCATAACATAATCAAACTAAAATCTTGTATAAGAATTGTATACTCGAGTAATTAAATATTGAAATAACTCGTGAGATGATGAACATACTCTAATAATATTAGTCAATTCATTTATTTCTGTGGATAACTTTTCTACCAGCAATATTATTCTAATTTACAATTATAGAACCTTTTCTGAAAGGAAATTTGGTTTTTAGAAGATGGGATGAAGAAATAACATCAATGTCATGAGTGGCATATATAAACATAAATAGTAAACATAACTCAATTTATAAATACCATATACACGAATAAAAATCCTACAATAATTATTTTATAATTATAAATTTAAAAGAAATAATACTTTTTGGAATGAAAAAATAGTGACCACATTTTATATGAACTTTCTGTTAAGTCTTAAGACTTAAGACTTCCTTTGAGGTTATCCTTAATCGCAAATTTATGCAAATAAACAGCAAACTGATGCCCTCAAAGTCACATAACTAACGCTATCCAACAAATAAATCAAGATTTATGATAAAATCATTAAAAATTGGATTTTCCGAAAAAAACACCACTAAGCAAAGCATCACGGAGATTTGAAGGATATTATATTTCATACATAATTACCATGAATAAAATATTCTTTCAAATAAAAAAAAAAATTGATTGGATATCTCTAAGATAACTTGTTTTATTTAAATTTAAAAATTGAACGTCCTTATTTAAAAACCCTTTATTAAGTTAAATAATAATATTGATTTATATTAGCTTAATTTATTTCTATAAAATATTACTTAATAAATAGAAGTTCCCTGGCTTTGAAGACACCGAGAATACATTCAATTCTAATCTTTATTTTAGAACAATGGTGTTTAATGTAAATATCTTCAGGAATATCTTTAACAGCTTCATATTTAATCATTATTACCCTACTCTAGAAAGGTACTATTTTTTAAAAGAAAATATATTTAGTTACCTAATTTGCTTAACATATGATGAATTTTTATTCATTATAGTTCTTGGGAACTTAATCCAAGTTACCATTTATTCAGTTTATATATTCATACTAACTGATTTTAAGCACCAGTTTACACTAGATTGGCTAATTGGTATTAGAAAACCCTGTAAAATGTTTATTTGGTAAGAACCAAAAACCATGAAACTTGTGGTAGTTAAAAGCTCTGGAAAAATTAAATTAAAAATCCTTTTAAGCATTTCTGAATGTATATTCAAATTTAGTATCTATAATTAGTAAAAAAGTCAGTATATTTTTTCACCAAAATCGAGAAATTGAATCGGATAATTAGTAAGTTTTTTTTTTTAAATTAACATAGTACATTATACAAATTTAACAATTAATTTCACTTACTTGAACTTTGATAACTAATCCAGTATTCCATAACTTTTTTGGGAGTGTTTTAATTAAATTTTGAACTGTATATTTAGATATTTTTTTAAAATTAAAATCATCTAGCTCAAAAGGGTTGTTAATTGAATGCTGAAAAAATCGACAGTACATTCTGAATTAATTTTGTTTCATTAACAATTTTTCTTCATAAATGTAAAGAATATGCGCAATTAATTTTAGTTTTAAACAGTTTTATTCAAAATTTTAATATTTAACCACTGATATCCATATAATAATATAAATATAATATAATGTAGATATCTGTGCCCTGTGGGTTTAACGCCTACTCGCTATTTATGTTATCACTTTTGACTAGAATACAAAATATTATTAACTAAAACACAGTTTGACACACCATCATTAGTGCAAGGCCGTGATTAATGCTATATAAAAGTCGACTAAAATCAATTAAAAATCTTCATATCTCTAAATCTAACTTACAAATTATATTTCGTTACAAAAGCAGGGAACGTAATTTATTAGCAATTGTTGTGTATACACTGTAATGGTGTAACATGGGTTATTTAGATCCCAATACCTTTGGTGTGGATCTAGTTGTCTTGGGATAAAATTATCGTATCTTAAACGTTATCAGTATATACAGTGAATATAACTATTATCATAATAGGTATAAATTTTTTTGAGTTTTCAAATAAAGCGCCTAAAACGTAAAGGATATAAGTGACATTTTAAAAAAATCTGAGTTAAAAACACAGTTGAACTAAAAATATTCAGTTTTATATTGTGGTAAAGAAATATGAGAAAATTATTCGCCATGTATTTCAATCTATTATCAAATATTAGATCTCACTGAAATGGTTTTCAAATGAAAATGGCATAACATATTAAAAGTAAATAGGTACAGAGGTCCACAACAGTTGTACACACACTTATATCTCTTTACCACAATATACTATCTTAAATTGTGATCGTGATCTTTACTGTCAAGTGGTTAAAAAAAATTGTCATCACTCGAATATAAGTAAATAGTGATGGTATAAAAATATGCTTTTTAAATACTATTTGTGTGGATTTAGTTGTCTCGGGATCAAATTATCGTGTCTTGATCTTATGTCCAGATATCCGAATGTTATCAGTACACCAAGGTGTATCTTGCACCTCGCAGTATACAATATACAATTATCAATTATCAATTCCAATTAAGGAATACATGGAATAGCTTTTATATCGTAGGTAATAGATAAATATTTACTTTGAATTTTCAAATAATGTAAGTTCCGCTAGCAATATTTTATTTACCTTTAATTGTGCCCAGGTCCTATCTATTTGTTCATACACTCACATACTAAAAATTCGTTGGTACAAACCAGTGTGAACTTAAGACATTTTTTGGACCAACATATGCATATGGTGCAAACTATTTACACCGGTTTCATCCCCTCTCATTTCCTCCCTCGAAATAATAAACGAACAGATAAATGATAATAATAATAATTTAATTGATAACAATGAATACTTATTCATATTTATTTTTATTGAGTACTTATTGAAATGTAGAAATGGGATGTACAGTATAGATAATACAATAATAATTTAATTAATTGATATTATTATCATTGTTAATATTTGACATAAGTGGGAATACATCGATTTCCATCGTCGAATATCTATATTGGTGTAAAATAATTGGTATCAAGACATGTTAGTAAACCTGTACAAAATGTATCGATACACCGGTATATACCAACGAATTTCTAGCTAGTCACATTACAGAGGTATTTTTTCATTGTTTACATATACTTTGTCTTCCATGAGAAAACCTCACATTATCTGGCTCTCTCACACACATGCTGGTTTCAATGTATTACACGGACACATGGTAAACGGTAATCGTTCTTAGTCTATTCTATTATGTGTCTGTAGTCTATGGCAGCCGCCTTTCTATATAATCTTTTTTCTACGATTTAAGTTTTCCTGGGGAAGAAAACCGGCTTACTGTTTTTTCAATATCTTCTAAAGTAAGTTTAATCATTATAATATGTGCGAGTGTTGATTTATTTCTGATCAACATTCAAACGACTAATTGTGAACATTTTAATTTTAGCATCAACCAACAACTTCTGTTTGTCGTCATATTCAATATATGGATCTGGGATGCAATTTTAATTGTGAGATTAACAACTAATCATTTATTTAGTTTCTTTTTAATTTGTATTTTATTTAGGCTTCAACATAAGTAAGTAACTAGATAGGTAAATCAATTGGTAATTAAATAATTACTCTTGAATAATACTGTGCAGTTTTGTTTAGGGCTATATCTATACAATATTATTTTACTATAAAAATTGTGAATAAATTACAGTGCTACTTTACAATTGTGATCTACTTAGCATGTGGTTTACCAGTATGTGAATTTTTAATTCAACGTATATTTTTGACATTTCATGTTTATAATTGTTCAAAAATATGTGTGTTTGGATGCCAACATATTTTTACTATAAAATAATATAAAAGGGTAAAAATGTGATTACCACTTATCCCTGCTCGACAGCTCTACTAACTCATACTTACAGACATGAACTTTTTAAAAAATTATTTAGAAATATATAACCACAAAGTACATAGGTACATATGCTTATGATATTTTTTTGACAAAACCCACTATCATTTGATGATTGCGCTTTTTTGCAGCTAAGTCTTGCAAACCTTTTAGAAGAATTAATTGTGTTGAGTAATATTTGGCTTGTTTTTAAAAAAACTCAAAACCAGTTTAAAATGCAGCAAATGCTTCAGCGAGTGACGGTCTTTTAGGTGTACTCATACTTTCATCACTACTGCTGTTGTCACTTTGATTTTGCAATGAAGAAATAATTTCACCATGATCTTTTATTTGATATCCTAGATAATTTACATTAGTTTCTAACCAATCAACAGTGTTATCCTAGTTGTAGTCTTGAAATGCTGGAATATCATTAAATAAATAAACAAAATCATTAAGATTATTTTTTTAGATAATTTTCTTTTCCAGCTTCCAACTCCTTAAAAGCAACCCACAAATACTTCCATGCATTTTGTAAATTTTATTCAGTTAAATTATCCCAAGCATCTGCTATCATGTAACAGCATGTAATGGTTGATTACTAGTGGTAGGGGGATGGTCTATGAGTGTTTCAGCGAGTTTTAATGGTTAGGTAACAGGGATACGCTAATTATAGTTTTGGATAATCACCATTCTATTGTACAATAGACTTTAATATTTTTTTCATGGAATATTAGTAATTACATTTTATTAAATAATAATAATTTTTGTTTTAAAATTCCAATTTTTTTGCTCTCCCATTTTAACAATTAATCAGTTTTAAGATGTTTTATTTTTTTTGTACTGCTGCAGAGACGGTTTGCAGAGTGTATCAAAAAATTAAGTTCTCAGTCATGGTTATGTATAAGTTTATTATATTATAAGTTAAGATATTAATTATATGATAAGAATAATATTAATTTCTAAACTGTTGATGAAAATAATATTGATAACCTAGGAACCCATTATTTTTTTCATATAGGATATTATATACTATACTCTAGTTACCATAAGTTAACCCAATTGGTCTACAAAAACCTCAGAAAAAAAAAACCCTCTGTAAGCATAGTCACAGACTCAGTATACATGCACGGAAGCGGGTTAACTTATGGTGACTAGAATATAATTACCTAATTATTATTCAAATTGAATTAATTATTTTTTATAGATGTACCATTAATTGAAAAACGAAATGCTTGAATCTTCGAAAAAAAATCAAAATTAAGGCATATCAACAATAGAGCCACTAGTTCTAAACTATATTGATTGTCAATACTAATACAATTCAAAAGGATTATTATTTGACCTAGCAAGTATAAAACAAAACTAATAATCACACGTCTGTATATTTAAATGAAATATTTTCTTGTAGTTTTTCAGTGGATAATTTGGACGCAATCTTGTCAAATGGACAGATTTTCTGATGCATCACAGTCTTCATTAGGGATATTTGAAGCTATATCAGATTTATCAACTAGTGATCAAGATGAAAATTCTGTTTATAGTAATGATTTGATTTCTTTAGAAGATCAAGTATCTGAGGAATGGCCTCCTCCTGGTAGATGGCTTCGAATTATTGAATGGAACTATGATTCTATTTGTCGATCAAAGAAAAGATCAAAGAGTGATAGTAATATCAGTAGGAGTACTGAAGAATTGGTTCCAAAACTATTTCGCCAACCTTCCTTGTCCTGGAAGTTCAAATTTGCACCTACACAAGAAAAAATTAAGAACTATGATAATTAGTGCCGGGCAACAAAATAGATAATTTGATATGATATTGAGATAAATTGTCATTAATTATCAATATTTTTTTATGGTATTCATTATATTAAGAATTATTTGTAGATCCTAGTTAATTTAGATATTATGATTAATTATATTGTACTATTGTTTTATGTACGTGTTAGTAATAATTTATTACATTTACTACATCTGTTGACTTTCATAACACTTATATTGCTATCAGTAAAGATTAGGTATTAGGGTAGTTTTTTATTATTGTTCATAATTACTCTTTTTGTTTGTATTTCCTTTTTTTTTTTTTTTTTGTATTCAATATAATATTTTTTCTCTAATAAGGGACATGTCATTGAATAATTTAATCCAAAGTGTAAATTGTGTCATCATGCATCAGAGTAATGTGTGACATAAACACATAATTTTCTATACATTACCTACACCTATTATGTGATTAGTGCTCATAATTTTAAGTAACTACTTTATTTTTTAGTGATAAGTGAATTTATTAAATATTTATATTAATTATTAATTTTAATAAATACTGAGTAGGTAATATTTAAAATGTGTATTTTTGATATGATACCTATTTTATACACCGATTCATGTTACAATATCAGAATCATCAGAACAATATCGATACACAAAATGATATTTTAAATGGTGGTTGCTCATCACTAATTATAATCTTATAAGTTTTAAATAGTTTTAGAGTAACATTTTGTATTATTATTTTCTATTAATTATCGGATTTTATTTTGCAAAATTAGTGTTTAATATAATTCACTAATTAATTCATAATAATTATTCTATAAGATATTTTTAGAGTTGTGTACCTTTAATTAGCTTTAAATAGCTTTACAAATTGTATTAAAAAGTTTATAATTTAAGTTAAAGAGTATTTAACTTAAACAACATAAAAAACAAATAACTGTAACTGTAGATTGAAAGTTTTTATTATAATAAATATTAATATTTTTTAATTTGCTTTAATTTCAGCTACTTCTCTTATGTGTATTACTTATTTTTGTGTCAATAATTTATACCCTGTTAAAAAAGCTGTATGGCGTTTGTCTAATAAAAGGGGGATTTTTTGTGAAGTTTTTAGTTCTGTTGTTTATATGTTTAATTAAATTATTATTAGTCTTAAAAGGGATTTTCACATTATTTGTATTATTGTTCAAAAGTTTAGAGAATTCATTACACATATTATTTTGACATTTCATACTACAATAGTTGACAACATTATGCGGTGAGTCGTGTATTATTTTTTCTTTAATATGTTTATGAATTTTTTCAATAGTTTTTATTTAAATTCAAATTATTTTTATAGGCCATATTATAGATAATATTGAGTTTGTTGATAATTATGATTATTTAATGGAATACATTCAAGCCTATAGAATATTATATTAAAAAATTATATTTTTTGAGAATAAGGGTGATTAGAATCATATGGCATTATTGCATCAACTTTTGTTAGTTTCCTGTAAATACTAAAAGATATAAGATATAATTAAGGTATATCTTATTTCGTGGTTAAAATATTTATTTAACACACAACACTTATTTTTAGAAAAATTTTCTTTTGGGAAATGAGTTCAAATATATAAGAAATTTATTATAATATTTTTCTTAAAAATCAAATTTGAATTCATAAAAAAAATATCCCTATAAATTACTGTTATTAATATTAGGGGCATTAATTTAAAACTTAAAATTTGATACTCATTTCGGGGAGATTCAGAGATTAAACATTTCAAATCACTAAAAAATTCAAGATTTTAATTAAGATTTTAAACCCACAAAAGTGAATAGTATTCAAAATAATGAATGTTGTGTGTAGAATGAAACAGTCTGTCTGTACCTATATAGGTATTTGTAGTATATGATGAATATGTTTTTGTGTTATTAATTTAATAAATCTAGTTATTACATATAATACTCACTGGGCATTACACATTATTTTACATGATAAGTAAAACTTTGGTTTAGTGCAATAAATAACATATTTTTAAATTGTTTTATTAAACTACAACTTTTATAACAATAAAAGAGATACATTTTATTAATTATTATCAATAACCAGTCATTAATTTGCATTAAAAAGCAATAGGTAGGTAGATATAAAGAAAATAATTATAAAAATTGAATTTTTTTTTTATCATAGTGCAAAATATTACTAAGTATCTATTTTTATCTATGCTTTCCTATATTCATTTATTTTTGTATTTTTTTCGAGTCTTGATTTCACCTCCAGGTATTGGCAAGTTCGTCTTTACCCTGAAGTTCAAGTAAGTTAGTATACTGCATTTAACAATGAATTATGAACATACCAGTTCTGGGTCTAGTCTAAATATTTTGAATACCGCTTTCAGTCAGGCACTGGAGACTGTTTTAACCAAAACTGAGATTGTCTAAGATTGTATATGGATGATTTATTAGTGTCATCAACCTCATTTCCAGAGCATCTGTCTCACCTTTTCGTGTTGTTCAAAAATATAGGTGAGTAATAAATCATTAAAACTATCAAAATGTGAGTTTCTTGGACAACAGATTAAGTTTTTGGGTCAAATCGACACTCCCCATAGTATCTCTTTTAGGTAGTTCAAAAATATTTATTTTATGTTTATACTCATCCAAATAGAATAAAAAAAGGCACATGATTTAAATTCAAACATTTAAGTGGATTTTTACAAATTGTGTAGATATAGGTACAATCATACAATACTTTCTTTTTAGCAATACATCAATGTTAATAGTCTAATACCTAACTATTAAGTAAATATAACACAATAAAAATCCAATAAAAGTGTCATGTTAAACTAGTACAGTAATATAAAAACAAGGCCACTTGAATGTTTTATTCTAAACTAGTTTATACTTCTCAAAATATTGTTTTCATATTCAACACATTACTTTAATAATTATGATAATTTAACAATATTCTTAATAAACAACAGTAGTGTAATTATTCACTTTTATATTTCAGTGATTGAAGCAGTGCTATTTCAGGGCCATATGCTATCTACACCGAAATTATTGATATACATTGTGATATGTATGATGTAAGCATTAGATATTTATACAAGATATATTTCAAAAATGAATCAAAAAATATAGAAATAAGAATATAAATAGAATTATCAAAGTTGTATTTTTATAGGTACATTTGATCAAAAATCTAAAATACAATTTTTGTATAAAATAAAAATTACTTTTTATTTCTTTGTGATTTAAATGTACAAATGTTAAAAATAATTATAATATAAATTAAGCTCAAAATTAATGAAAATTTAAATCTTTCTAAATGGTATGTGAAAATAAATATAATTAATTAATAATTATTAAGAATATTGTAATCAAATATGTTTGTATTAAATAAATTAAATTGTATAGTTACTAAACAGACTATTATATTGGCATAAGATGTCAACATTATTATACACCATAAGATAAAATTGTAAGTGTTATAGCATTATATACCATATGGTAACACAACTCATTGTTGATCCAGCATACATTTTGTACAATACATTGTAAGATTTATGTTTTTTTAAATGCATAACCATCCAAGCCCTTGGTTGAATATGTTTTAATTTTTGTTGCATTATGAAATGCTGTATACAAATTAAAGCTAAGCTAATAACATATTTTTCCAATATTAGATAATCCAATAACCAATATTTTATTTTTTTGATTCTATGTTTGATCAAAGTCTTGTATCTATAGTAATATTATATAATCACCATTATTACACACAAAATAAACTACTGAAATACTTGTATCCTGTATTATATCAATTTTACTACCAGTTAAACAAAAACTGATACCTAATATACCTTATAAGAAATTTGTAAAAAAAATTTAAAAAAATAAAAATGAATAAAGTTATAATTTAAAAATAATTGTAAATAAAAATATAAAATAATACTGTTATAATATAAGTCTTAAATGTAATATTCGTTTATAATAGTAAATTTTAGGGTTCAAACAATATATTTACAAATATCCAAAGAAACCATGTATAAAATTGATATATTATACACAACAATTTGCAAAAATTTCATAAATTGGAAAATAAAATAAAATTGCTATATTTTAAACTTATGAACCATGAAATTTACTGAACTTTTGGCCAAAACAGATTAAAGTACATAAAATTGAAAATTTTGAACACCCTTTATCTAGTAATGAATGAAAATAAAGAAATTGAATTTTAAAAAATAACTTTTTTAACATTTTGTGGTTTTCATAATTAAAACAACTTAAAAATCATTGAAATATCTATATTGTTTGAGACCCATAATACAAAAATATGAATATAATAAAATGATGTTCTTAAATAACAGACCTATAAAGTAATGTTAGGAATTTTTTTTTTTAAATAAAATATAAAATGATGTCATGATTAACTTAAAATTAGGGTATAGGAATGTGTCATGGCATTTAAAAAGTTTAGTCAAAAGCAGATTTCTTAGAAAATGCAGCAAGTGATGACATTTCAGTAGGTTCTGTAGGAAGACGGCTAAATTCAATTGTATCACTTGAACTATTATTTACATCTAAAAAGCATACAAAAAATACATATAATTAAAATACATAAAAATATCATCAAAACTTAATTTTAGATTCTAAATGAGGGAAGTGAATAACGTATTGGTTTTACAATGTTTATTTTATTATTATTATTTTTTTTTTTATATAAATTGTATGAAATTTTACCAGAAATCGTCCTCCTATTTTGAAATTGAATTTGAACTTCCAAGTGGTTTTCATAATAATTGGAAAAAACTGTAGGAAAGGAAATGAGGTGGGGAAAAAGGAGGTTACAAAAATAATGATTTTATTATTTTCAATTTTGTTTTTTGTCACAATTCAGTTAAACATATTTGTAGACTTGAAATTTGGACAGAAACCTTATATTTGTCTATTACAGACTTGGTCAAATTTTTAAAACTTTTAAGATCTTTATAGACATTTAAATTTTGTGAGTTTTTTACACAATGTTTATTGGATAGGTACCCTGTAGATAAAATTTTTAGACCCAACAGAAAAGCTTGAAAATTTATCAGGAATCTACTTTATATTTAACATTAATATCGGTTTTTTTTTTATAACAAACCTTAAAGCTTCTTCCCATTTTATTCTCATACCCTCATCTTGGGGTACTTTAAAAAGGGTCATGAATTTGCTATGGGGTTTTTGAATGAAGGTAATTATTATTGGCAGCAAACATTATCATCAATGAAAAATTATACAAAGTCAAGGACTACACCAAGTGTTAATACATAATACCAAATTTTAAAAAGAACTTTTACTGTCACTTTTTTAAGCAGCCTAGCATAAGCATTTTTATCTATAACCATACTTCTGATTCATTGGTTGTTTATTACAGTTATCATTAACCATCTACCATAATATATCATTGTTTTTTTTATTTTAGAGTTTATTATAGGTATAATATAAATGTGTGCTGTGGAATAACTATTTGATTTAACCAAGAAAGTCTTAAATTAATCAAAAGGGTTGACAATTTAGTTAATTTATAAGGGATATTTTATATTCAAAAACAATTTGACATTCATGTTAGTGTAATAAAATTATTAAAAAACATGGCCAACACTGAAACATTGAAATGAACATCAACTAAAGTAGTTTAATTTTGAAAAAAAGACTCAAAGAAACACATCATCAATGATTTTTAAAATTTAAAAGGTAATTTCTTAGTATTCCCGTTAGAAACTGTGCCTATGAACAATGTTTTACTTTTTCATGTTTTACTCAGTATTATAAAAAGCCAAGTTTTGATCCACAATGAACTGGCTGAAAGAATTGGGTGCTATTTTATGTATGTTTATTCAACAAAAAGAAACAATATTAATAATGATAAAGCCATAATTGTTGGAAGTCTGAATAATCCTATAAAATATAAAGCATAATATGTATAATAATTTTCTTTTTATCAGACAGAGAAAGAATAACTGTCTGTTTATGATTATAAAAATATATAAATTAATGTTAATAATTTATTAAATCATATGAGTACACTTTATGTTTATATGTTTATTTTGAAATTGTTTTATTAAGTAATGAAAAATTTAAAAATTTAAAATGAATGTTTATATTTTCCAGTTACCAACAATAGGTCACTCAAAATTTGTAAGGAAAATTTCTTTAATTTCTTTGTAGTGTGATTACAGGAGAATGTGTGATCAAAATAAATCTGACTCAGAAGTCTGTGGCCTATTCATACAATAATTATTATTTTTTATATATTTTTTTTTAATTTGTCCTATTTATTACTTTTATAATGTAAATACAAGGATTTTAGTTAAGATAAATAATATTAATTACTTTTTAATTATTTATAATTTAAGTGTATATACATTGTACAAATATTATATGAAACTTGTAGCGAGTATTGGTGATGGGTCATTATACCAGTACTTGTTCCAAAGTAATGAGTACACTAAAGGAAAAAGTATAATTGATAGTTCTATAACTAGAGCCAATAAGTTTAGCCAACCATGTTAAGAAACTATACTGAATGCACAATCTGAAGAGTATTTGTATGATATAACTGAACAAAATTATTTATTGCTTTTACCACAATATTTTTACAAATTTGAAGAGGCCAAAAATACAGATCAACACATATTTTTACAGTTTCGAGTGTAAAAGTATCAAATTTGATCAATGCTATTGCCACTTAAAATAACTTTCAGTATAATTTTAAATAGAAATATTAAATCTAGATTGATAACAGTAATTTGAGAAGAGCATTCCCCAGTTTGGCAAAAAATTTTCTTGATGAGTATTGATTGATATATCCAAATCCTGCTGTCAGAAAATCTATCAAGTCTCAATTCATCTTTAAAGTCTTTTTACATTTTTTTCTTTGTTTCCTTCACAACTTTGTTCTCTGCAGAAGATCGTACTTGCCACTTTTCAGTGATATTTCATAAGCCATATGAAGCAGAGATTTAAAAAAGAGAATTCTAACATGGAGAATCAAGAGTCCATAGTCAGTGATTCTATATTGATTTTAGTTGCTTGGATTAACTTATTATAATATTTTGAAGTTTGTCCAGAAATAAAGCATATCATGGTGGAAATAGTATCAATGACTGTATTGTACACTTTCCAACCAACCATGGTAAACAGCTCTATTTCTATAAGGGCCTTGAATTTATTTTCAAGGTAACTTATTTCGTCTTTAGATTTAGAGATGAAACTTCTATAAATGGGTAAGCAAAATTTAGTAGAGGAAGTTACTGGGTTTTGCTAAATAATTTTCATATGTTCTCCATTGTTGTTTTGACATTTTTGTTTATACTGTATCTATTGGACCTATCACAATCTTATTTTGATGATAAAACCATACTTTGCTTTTCTTCCTCTAAACACATTTTTAGAACCTCTTTTGTTATGTACCTTCAACTTCCATTTTAGTAGGTTTTTGTTCAGACCTTGAACACACAAAATCAAAAATGGAACTAATACAAAAATATACAAATGCTAATTCAGAAAACCAATTATACGTGATTTGGACAGTTACAAGATAATGAGTGATAAAGAAGTTAGCATGGGTTTGTGGAATTTTAATGATAATCATTTGGGGCAAGGTAGCTTGAATAATAGTAGGGTTGACCTTATTAATCAATTTGATGATTGTGACTTTTGATTGATTATATCATACAAATACTCTTACCTGCAATGTAACGAGTTTTTTTAGAATTGATACTTTTTTGTAATTGTATCAATTGGAAAGATTCCACAAAAGTAATGAAAATTCTCATCACTGTGGTTTTTTAAGGCATTAATGAAACTTTATATATTACAAATTTATTATACCCATTTCTGAAGGCCAGTGCTTGTGAGATGGTGAATAGAGAATAATAAGAGCAAATATGTATATATTCCACATCCCATACACGCCAATCAAAAATGCAGATCCATAATTGATTTCACTGTTTTCGTTCCATCGCCAATGTCCTTCTGAAACCTAAATGCACACAAAACAAATATATTATATTTATTTATTAATTTATTTTAAACAAGAAATAAAATTTCAAATTCAAATTATTCAATAATAATTATTTCTACCTGGCCCAATACAAATTCGACCATAGTCACAAAAGCACACAGAATAGTGGCTAACATTAAGAATTTGAATCTGTAAATGCTTCCTTCATAATGCAATCGTCGGGCGTTTGACATAGCTGGTAAGGCTGATCTTCGAATACTTATATTGCAGAATACTCTCCATATCATAAATGATAAAAAGACAAAGTAACATATTCCGCTAAGCAATGCTAACAATATAAATGCCATCTAAATTGATCCGTATTAAATAAATGCATACATTAAAAAACAAAAATAGTGATTATATTTATTATAATGAAAAGGAATTTACAGCTAAATTTGTCCCTGTGTTAGTTGCCCAAATTGTGTAAAAGGGATTCTTCAATTGTGTTCCTCTTTCACTCATTTCAAAAGCAAATAGAGCAACACAGCCAATAAAAACTGCACTCAAATGTTTCCAATATGTGAGTATACTGGTTTGATGAGAATCCTGTAAATGTCAATAATACTATTTACTCAAAACTCCAAACAAATATTAATATTATATTCTGTTAACTATAAATTTACCTGAATCTATAAAAGAACAGCAATTTGAAACCATGAAAAAATAAAATCAATATTTTCATGTACATTAATACAAATTTAACAATAAGACCATTTTTGATAAAGATTAATAAATACTTACCATAAGATGTTCACCAGCAAAAATCAACCAAAATGAAAGTAATGCAGCGTAAAATACACCTTGTCTTAGGTCTTGCAATATCAACATGTATGGCATATCATAATATAATGACAATGATTCAATAGGAACTAAAAATAAATAATTTGAACAGTTAAGCTGGTCTCACAAGATTCCTATACTTATACACATATATTTGTCAATTGGTATACTTTAGGAGTCATATAGAAAGTACATGGTTATAAAACATAAAGATTACTTTTACTTACAGTTATTTGAGAATTCTATTGGTGTCTTGTGATGTTAAGACACAATGATTTTTATTTTGGATAATAATGACATTCCCCCCCCCCAAAAAAAATGATATCCCTTTGGGTACATAATAAGTCAAAATGTAGTTCAATTATAACTTTTAACTAAAAATAACTTTATCTGAATCTGTATCTTTTCAGTAGGATAATTAATTACAAGGAATTTGCATTAAATAAATATTCTAAAATACTAGGATGATTTAAAAAAAATATTTAATAGATTTAATGATTAGTCATTAAATCTATTAAATAATTTCATACATTTACATATTTAAAACTAAGAAAACCTCCAAGAACCTAAAATAAAATATGAAGTAGTATTCATTAAACTATAATTTATAAAAACATGATTATACATATTACAATTATTGTTTGAATTTTTTTGAAATGTTAATTTTATAAAATAAATTAATTCATAATTATTATAAACAATAAACTAAATATTTTAATATTCAATTAAAAAAATATAGATTATGTATTTTTCTTACAGTTCAAACAGCTAAGTATGATACCAATGATTAACAACATTTGTTCAAGTAAAACTGGTTTCCTCGCCAACCGATAAACTCTGTACCAAAACCATAATAATATTCCAACAACAATTGGAAAAATAATAGCTTTCATATGTATCCATACATAAGTGAAACCTCCATTTTGATTGATTACCTTAAGTAAACAAAAGCAATAAACTTTTCAATGAAATTGTTTATAAAATAATTCAATTTATAATTATGATAAGTTTTGATAAAAAACAAGGGATCAGTATGTCAAAAAAAATATTAAAAAGGACATACTTGCCACAATAGGTGGACCACTGTTGAAGGTGAGAAATTGGGAAGGTAAGATATAATAGAGGAATTCAATTTATATCTGTATGCAACAATTAACCATTGCTAATGAAAAACGATTCTGAGTGGAGTTCAGTTATACATGTTTTAAAAGGCAATAATATTTGTGATTTTCATATTAAGTCTTATGAAAAAAAAATTCATTATTACACTCAATAATATAATCCTTAAATATCCTTAATTATCAAATTCACAATATTTTTGGATTCAGCCCGTAAATGAGTGTTGTATACATACAATTTTATTTAAACAAAATACATTTTTGATAATAATTTATGTCGAGTTAGAAAATTATATTTAATAATTTAAGAGTTACACAGGGACATTTAAACCTTCTACCATTTGATCTAATAATATTTTCTTGAAGTGTTTTTTTGACGGTTTTATGTGCTTTAAGTCTCGAACCCTGGTAATAAGCTTAAAAAAATTATTTTAGATTCTGAGTGAATTGAAGCTTATGGTTTTACAATGATGTTGGTTAATTTTTATTTCTATGGACAACTTTTTTACCAACCAGCAATTTTTGCTCTGATTTAAAATAAAAGCACTTTTTCTGAAAGGAAATCTGACTGTGAAGGTACTTTAGAAAGGTCAATTTTTGATTTTTCTAGGAGTTTTCCCAATAATTGCGAAAAAACATGAGAAAACTGGAAAAATCGGTACAATATTGAACAAATATTATTACAGAAAATATATAATGCCTATGTAGTTATTTTATCAAAATATATGACATATATATTGTTGACAAAACAACACTATCAAAATTAACTCCTCTAAGAATCATTTTTTTGTTTGCAATAGTTAATCGTTGCTTAAAGATATACATTTAATTTCCCCTCTACTACCTTTCCAACTTCTCAACGGCTCATGAAAAGTATGTCCTTTATTTTTCTATTAAAATATAACAAAATTAAATGTGATCTTTTAATTCTCAGAGCCATAATTTTCAAATTTGTTTAAATAAATAATAAAAAATTGTTTTCTTAGTATGTAGTTGTAATAATAATACATTTGTAAAAAAAAACAAAGTAGTTAATTGTTTTTCTATATGGACATTAAAATGATGGAATACATTCAGTTATGTACAGTTTAAGTAGTTTCATTTTATAAAATGTTATCCATATTGTGTTATTACCCTAAGTGAAGAAACCCCAGTTCAATTTTGTAAATGGATACAAATGTTATCTATGTTATATGGAAGTGACATATTATGTAACATATATATATATAGTAATGCATTAAAGCTAACATTTGTATAGTTTTATACTAGTTTGTCACAGAGATCACATATTAATATGGTATATCAAGATTTCAAGGAAGAAAATATGATTTGTAGATATAAATTAGAGTTTTAGTTGTTTATTTTATAAAAAATAGTATGTATCTATCTAAAGAGATATAACTACTATCTACTCATATCAGGATTAGACTTCAGTGTGAGGCAATCATTGGTTTTCCCTGGAATGTATCTAACATAAGACTCTTTGGAAATTTTGTAAGTTTGATTACTATTCATACAATTCATAAGATATATCAAAGGAGAAAAAATGTCTACTATATATATTTTTAGATAACATTGGTAATTAACATTAAGATTAGATAAATTGAATTAAAATGTTAATGTTTAATTAGTACTATGTTGTATTATCAATTTTATCTCTACTTACCACAAGCCAAACATCTTTTAGATGTCCTAAACCGATGTTTATACCCATTTGTTCATCAACTGGTATTTTTATATTAATTAAATAATAATCATGAAACAATGAACCAAGTTCAAAGAGGGGTACTAAGGAACATTGATAATTATGACCATCTATTTTCTAAAACAATAAAATTGGATTAATTATAATAATTCACGTAAGAGAAAAATAATATTAATTGTGTACCTCTGTAGCAACACAATCTAGATTACGTTTTTCAACAGAAGCAGCATACAAATGCCAGTCATCATCTCTGTCTCCTATATTTCGATAACCAAGTTTTGTATCCAATGTTAGTACAAAATTGCGATCTAAAAATACAAACAATGTAGGTTATAATTATATTGAAAAGAAAAAAATGTCATTAAAATCTACTAAGAAAAGTCAAACAAGTCTTGTTTGACCACTGAATTACAGTACTAAAATTTGTAGTCTCAATAATAATTCTTCACACGATGAGAACTTACTACTTTTTATATTTCTAGATCAATTAGGAAAAAAAATTAACTTGAAATTCCAAATTAAAATCAATAGTATTTTGTTCAGTTTTTTTCTTTATAGGGTTTAATTTTTGAATACATTTTAGATTCTGAGTCGAGTATAAGATTTTACAAAGATTTTTTTTAAACTAGGTGCAACTTTTTTACCAGAAATCTTGCTAGGATTTATAATGATAGAAATGTTTCTAAACAGAAAGCTAACTGGGAAGATACTTGAAAAAGGTCATATTTCGATTTCCTCAAGATTCCAATTAAATTTGAAAAACTAAAAAAAAAAAAAAAAAGAGGAAAATATAAAAAATGTAGGTATTAGTTAAAATATATTACTCTTTTTTTTTTTCTGTGCACAACTTTTTAATTTTAATATAAATATGTTTAATCAACTATAAGTGGTTTTTTTTCAATTACTAAAATTTAAGTATAACCATTGATCAGGTATGGTAAAATAATAATGGCAATCCAATTCATAATTCATTAGTAAAGAAATTATACAATTATCTAAAAATCAAAAGAAAATATAATTTATACTTTTTATTATATCAATATATGAGCATCATCAATTGAATTACTCAAAACAATAAATTATTCAAATTGTGATATTATAATAATTCAATATTAATAAATTTTATATTTAGAAAAATTAAATAATCTACAAAATCAGTTAATTAAAAGTTAACTATAACTTATTTATACTCATAATTACAAAACCAATTGCATACAATAATTGAATAATTGAATCTAATGTGTATTTGGTGTGGTTTTGCAAATACATATAACTCAGATAATGTTATTAGAAAATAAGACACCTACTTGAAATAGGTATTAAATATTGCACTGGAGATAGTGTTAATGTTTATAAATCTATTATTTCAAATAATATTATACAGAGTGGTTGACTAGTTTGTATTAAAAATGTTTATCTTAATGTTTTCTGTGATCAATATAAATTGATATAAAAGATATGATCAAAAAATACCCCGATTGTATTAATAATATTTATATTGTAACTTTTAGCTAGGGTTATAGAATATTGTTTGAAATTGATAACAATAATTATTTTTATATGCATAAATATTTTTACAAAACCATATTTCAGTCATCTGGAGAATTTCATAATTTCATTTTAAATTGGGAAAAGTTTGAATGAAACTTTTGAACTTTTGCATCAAGCTTTTGGGAATAATGTTCTATCTCATACATATTTGAGAGATTTAAAGGGGAGAAAGTTTCAAGCACACACATTGTTCACTTCCATTACGAAATTTGCTTGATGACTGAAACATAGTCTCATAAAAATGCCAAAAATAAAAATAAATATTATTATCAATTTCAAATAAAACTTTAATTCTTGCTAGAGTTACTTTGTCAAATAACAATAGGGGGTTATCTTTATTGATATAAATATTACTAATACAGTCTGGGTATTTTTTGATCACATCTCATACAAGGGTGCAACATCAAAAAATTCAAAACTAAATATATTTAAACCTTAGATCATATACAATGGATAGAGCCACAACTTAATATTTTGATGTACATGTTAGCAACCAGTCACCAGCTGAGTAGTTTTTAGTGTGCATGTGTGTCAGCGACTAGTCCTATATTTATTCCAATGTCTTAATATAATGTGATAAATATTAAATAACTGATAAAATAAGTGATAATAATAACATGCATTTTAATGAATTAAAAGTTAAATTTATTACATTGATAATAAATTGAAATCTGTATAAAGTACCTATAATACATTATAGATAAGAATAAAATTATACATGTTGATAATTTGAGATAAATAGGCTGTGGTTCTATCTATTAAGAATTAAACTAATACTCAGTCTATGTATGGAATTATTAATAAAGGTTGTCATTTGAAAATCAAAATTAGATAGTTGGTTCATCTTCAAAAATAAAGAAATTGTAAAATTTTAGACCTACTTGTCTCTTTAATTATCAAAGAAAAACAAACATAGAAACAAAGAGACATACTCCCCATGATGGGTGAGCCACTGTTGTAAGTGAAAAGTTGGTAAGGTAGAAGAGAAATTTAATGTATACCTGCATGCGAAGATAATTACTAACGAAAAAATTCTGAGCGGAGTTCGGTTAAATATGTATTTAATATAATGTATACTATTTGAAAACAACACATTTTGTAAATATTGTAAAACACCTGGAAAAATCAAAAATTATCTTCCTAATGTTCCACTCTAGTCAGAAAAAGTGCTACACCTGAATATCGGAACAAAATTTCTGGTCGAAAAGTTGTTCACAGAAAAAATTAAAATAAAATAAATATCATTATAAAACGAAAATATTTCTCCACTCTGAATATAAAATCTAAAAAAAGTTAATAATTTCCAAAATATCACAATGATCCTTGTGTATAAAAATAAAAATTATATATTTACCCATAGTAGTTCCAGTATGATACTCAATATCAAAGTTCAGGACACCAATCATGTTCTGTTGCCATCTAGAATAGTCTAATGTCTGGCCATCTCGTGGAGTAGGTATCTAACAAATAATAGGTATAATATTTAAAATTAATATTGATAAAATCCAAGTCATTTAAGTCAATAATATAACTATTTGATATTATTGACTTTTAATACACATGATTTTAAAACATATAGGGTGTATTAATCAAAACAGATATCAATTTGAGCTGAATTTGCTGAAAGTGCATAAATCAGTGCTTTGGATTGTATAAATCTGAACCGCACATTTCTGTTTAAGGAATATGAGTTATCAGGTAAACTATTTTGTAGGAAATGGTTTTAAACTTCAATGTTTAATATTCTATAAACCGCAAAAGGTTAAAAATTAATTCTAGGGCTTGGGTCAAAATGAGTTATATGGTCAATCATATACAATTTGAAATGTTTTTTCTAATGGTAAAATGGTATATATCAATAATTATTATTATGCGATTTGAGAAGACCAATGTTGTTAGAAAAATTACTATTCAATATTAAAATGTCCCAAAAATGTGTTTTATTCATAATTTCCCAAAATTTATAAAAAAGATTATAATTTTTATGTTCTTTATTAAAATATGATAGAAATAGAATATAAATCCAGAATCTAATCAAACAGTTTGAAAAAAAAAAACTTTTTTCCCAATTATTATAAAAACAGCTGAAAAAATCAAAAAATGACATCCTTAAAGTACCACTTCAGATTAATTTTCTTTTAGAAAAAATGCTATACTTGAAAATCGAAGCAAAATTATTAGTAAAACAGTTGTCCACAGAAAAAAACATCATTTGTGGTAGCGACAAGTCAGGTGGAATTTTATTATTACTCCAATACTCTTCCCCTACCTGAACTTAAAAGTGAAATAACTCGTCAATTCTTAGACTAAAATCAAAAATTTCAACACCAAAATGTATTTAAAGTAATAAAGTAATTTATTTATTTATGAAATTTTTAATATAGGTTCTCATTTGAAAAACCAAAGTTGGTATCATCACAGAATACTCCTTTAAGATACAGTTTCCTAGGCACATGGCCACACTAGTAATATGTAAAACCTATAGTCTAGTTTTCTACATGTGACCACTACAATGGGACAAAAATAAGAAAATAAATAAAATTATACAATAACAATAATTGTTGGATTATTACTAAATTTTAACTGAAATATTGGCGTTTGAATTAGAATAAAAATAATATAAAATTTACCAAACCTTAGCTTATACCCCCAACCAGAAGTACGCACCCCAGTACCACGTTGCCTGTAGCTAATGTGTTGGGAACTGCTGAAATAGAGTAATCAAAATTCAATGCTTTAGTACAGTGGTTTCTTCAACCCTTTTGGGTCCATGACTCTTCTGATTTTCAAATCCAAATTAGCAGCTCTTACGAATAATGATAATAATAAAAATAAATACATTTACTGTAATACTCTACTATATTTACTATAGATGCGGCTCCCTTAATAATAAACCATGATGCACAGGTTGAAAACTACTGCTTTAGTAAGTATTGAAAAAAAAAAATAAATTAAACTTATTAAACATAACAAAAGTTTTGGATTTGATAAATTTTTGGGAAATATCCTATATATCATATAATAAGGTATAAAATCCTATAATATAGTACATAATTAGTAAACCTGTTTTAGTGATATATAGGTATGATACAAAGGAGGTAGGTATTTTCGCTAAATAAACCTAATTGTATTATTTTTATGTATACTGCACTACTTAACTTTTTATACTTTTTATACAATTAACCAATTATATAATGATTTATAACTATCATTAGACTGATTTTTATTACAGCGAATTGTAATATGTACATCACAATCAGAACTTGCAACATTTTTGATGATTGTTTCAGTAGATTTTTTATTAGGATATTTGGTTCTGAGCAATTGATTGGATTATGGACCCAACCTTATAATTTACTTTGTTATATTATATTATTTAAAATAACACGAACATCACACATATACCTACGAAGCAAATCAGACTAAATAAATGTTGACATTGACACTTAACAGATTTTAAAATCAAAATACAGATGCATGGAGGTAGTCAATATTATAATTTGATTGTATACAATAATAACGATAACATTTTATAGAATGTGGCTTGTCTTTGCATTTAATTTAGTTACGCTATCAATAGACTGTGGTCATGAATTTAATTGTTGGGTAGATACCTACATTTTTTATCAAAACTTTATTACAATAAAATGAAGAGAATGGCAATCTGCAATGGAAATTTGATTTTCTATAAAAATAATTATAAATCATTTTAAATCTCCTTAATTGAAATACTGTCGGAAACGTCTTACCTAGTGGACATTATCTTTATTTCTTTAAAAAATAATTACATAATATTTTTATGACTTCTAGCTATTCAATAGCAATTTTAATCAACTAAAATAGATGCAAAAGATAATATTATAAACCAGAATACTAAGACATTTCTAACATACCTGGAATGTAAAAACTATGTCGTTGGCGACCAAATTGTATTCGGATGTGTAGGAGCCCAATTCATGCGTAACACATTGGCCGGTTCCTCTGATGTACGACCATGGATTGCTTTGGTTATAAATGCACTTGGAAGCCAATACCATGTCTGTGGTGGACGGTGTCGGAGCTGCAAATAAGTTGAAACGACATGAATAGCAAGGTGTAAAAACATAAAAACATAAAAACAATATGATGTCTGTACATCGGTGTAGACGTACCTAGTAATCCACCAAGCAGGAAGCATCCGATCTGGCAAATAAACAACACGAGCACGAGTACGAAGAGCTTCTTACCGCTCAGGTTTTCTAGTATGACGCCACCGCCAGACATCTTCGATTCAATTCACGAGTTTCTATAGAAATCCAACACTGTCCGGACTTGTTAAAACAAAAATTGTAGGTACCAGTATCCCTTTCCTTTGTGTGCGACACTTGACTACTTGAGTACTCGCCACTTGACGCGTTGCCGCGGCCGATGCTGGAGGTGATAACGACCGGTACATTTTGTATACCAAACAAACAACCGACATGGTGATTGGTAACTGATAAGATGGCGACGCGGTTTTTTTTTTTATCTCTGTGATGTAATTTACGAAAATATTGAAAACGTTGATTTTCTGTCCTTGTACACACGCATACCATAGGAATTTATACGTGTTTTGTAATTAATTGTTTTATTTTTCGATTCACCGGTTGATCTGTTAATATGATAAAGATACCGAATGTTATATGTCTTCAAGTTTACTTGATAGTTGATTTGTATTTTTGATTTTTGCTTCGCCAAAATTAAAATACATACAATATATTTATTTTTTATTTCTACATTCACGATTTTTAATATTGTAAGTATTTGTTCCTCTCGTACTAGTTTTGCTAGTTGTACGCATTATTCCCGATCTAAGCTTTTTTAAATTTAATTTACTGTGTTCGATAAACAGCAAATTAGGAAAGTCCCAGTTTTTTGTATACATAGTGTCTCGGAAAAAAACTACGAGATATTATGATATAGGTACCTACCTAGCAATCTTTATGTGACTATAACTATAAGCTCTGAGAATAGATTTTTTGGAATTTATTTTAATGTCATAACTTTGATTGTACCAGTTTTATTTGTAAAATATCCATACTTACAAAATAAAAATAAACGATACCAAAGAATTTCTTGACAAATTCAATTATAAAAAGACGGACATACTTCGCACGTGAATGGACCACTGTTGTAGAGTAGAAGTTAGAAAGGTAGAGAGGAATTGAATGTACCTACATGTTATCGACAATGTTGAAAATATAGGAAATAATATTTTATTCGACTTTTTATGACATTTCCGTAGCTTATTAAGCAATGTTATCGGGCAATACTTATTTTACTAATATATTTCGTACATTTTCCCATTTTTCTCCAGTTTTTCACATTTGTTGAGAAAATTTTTTGTTTCTTACGTTTTATTCTGGTTTTTCCCGTAAATTATGAAAACCGCTTGGAAAATCAAAAAACTACACCCCACAACTCAAAAGTCCCATCTCGACAATATTTCCTTCCAAAAATGATGCCGCTTGTAGGTATATATCGGAACAAGATATCTGGTAGAATTTTTGTGCACAGTATAAAAAGAGAAAAAAAAATAAAAATAAACATCATATTTAAACAAATATATTCCTCGCTTCGCTTAGAATCTAAAAGTTTTCACTCGATTTTTTCCAAAAACGATCATTAATCATTGTTTTTATTGAATTTTATTATTATCTATCTATAAACAAATTATTTACAGAAATAGTTAAACATGACTTTCGTTTATTTCAATAAAAACAACTACCTAGCTACATTTATATAAATATTATTCTTATAATTTTCTTATAAGATAGTATATTTCTCAAAAAATAAGCCTTGTTTAAATCGGTTTTTTTCACTAACTCAAAAAATTGAGATAATAATATACTTTTTTTTAATTTAATAGTACATCATATTTAACAAAAATGATAACCTTCTGAAGTATAATATATATTCATTCGTCGAAATGTTTTTCGTCGAATTTCCTTGCGTCAAGATATCCTAGATCCTCATCAGTCGGCAATATTTTGATTTCTAAATTGGTAAACAAGTAAATTGTTAACTGCTGGCAGTCGAAGTCTGTGAGAATAAGAAAAACAAGGGGTTCTCCGTATTTGTATACTAATACTACTTGTGGAGTCAGTAGTTATTGAATATTTATTCAATATCCACTTATATTCTTACACTTTTTATAACAAAGTAAACTTTAAATAGTGTCAATGTGGTCAATCCTTGGTTTACGCCTTTGACGACAAATGTTAATGGTAATTGCTGATTTAAAAATCAAAATACTGTCGACTGCCGAGGGCAGTCGTTCCTATATTATAATTTTTTTTTTATTATACAAACTATAATCTAAACAAATCTAGGAAAATAGTTTTTTAACAAGTCGTATAATTGCGAACGGCTCCGTGCTTTTAAGAAAATGCAAAGTGATAATTATGAAAAATTCAACGAAGGGGGAGACAACCCACCACACCCTCGTTGCTGCCGGCCCTGTTTTATTGGGAATATTTATAGTTCAGTAAACTTTCTTCATTTTTTGTTCAATAAAAATGTACAAAAGAAATAAAGTCAAACCACTTATGGATGAAAACTTAGAGTTCTGGACTACAAAAACGTGCATTTGTTTAATGATTTTCATATTTTTGATAAAAAGTAAGAACTTTGGTGGCCGCCTTTTGGCGACTCGTGCAACAGCTATCCTATCTACAATAATATTATTGTAATAATTTTTCCTATGGGGAAAACGCACGTTATCCAGACTTTTACCGTAATATTATTATCTATGTATTTATGCCACTATTTTATCATGATAAGATTATTATATACACAACACTACAAAAAAAGGTAGGTTAGGTAGGTACCTATTTTTGTTTTTTTTTTTCAATAGTAATTTTACTCAAAAGTAAAATAAATTATATTACACGTGTCGTATTCGTATAGTTGTGCGTATTATACAAGTTATAATTTTTCTGAAAAAATATTTCATACTGTAGAGGTCATCTAAACAATATTAGGTAAGTGTTATAGGTACAATTGTATTTTTCTCTGTAAATTTAAATGTTGTTTAGTCGAATATTGATGGATATTACTAATACCCTCAAAATAAAACGAGGCACAAATTAAGATATCTCAATTTTTAATTATAATAATATGCATAGCAAAGTAAATATGTTTGGTTGATGGTTGCCATCTCATTATGAGTCATTAATGAACTTTATTTTGTGGACTCAACAAATTGCATTATATAAATAGATACTAATTAACCTATAGTTAATTAGTGATAGGTACCTAAAGATTTTTTTTGATTTCATATTTTAAAATCTGTTGGGTATAAATTTAATATGTATTTATATCGGTATATCTATAAACTTTGGTAACAGTACCCAAGTAGATATCTACCTAATCGGTAGATAAAATAATTTCACTTTATTTTTACATTTGGTATAAATCTACTTTAGCACCCCCTAGAAATTATGGATTTTTTTTTCAGAAACTTATGTATTTTAAGAATTAAATTTTTATTACGATTTTAAAACGTTGATTCGCTTTGGTTTCAATAAAAAAAATTGAAAACTTTTTTATAAGCGTAGTAAACTATGCATTATACACATGCATAAAACACCAAAAATTGTGAATTTCAAAAGGCAATAAATTCAAAATTAATGATTTCAGCGAAAAACGTAATAAAACTAATTATGAAAATGTTGAAATACTTAGGTTTCCGAAACAAAAAAAAACAAAATTTCGTGGGGGGTGCTAAAGTAGATTTTTTTCCAAAATTTAAGTAGTTAATTGTTTTTATTATACCTATTTACATTCAACAAAAAATTTAAAAAAATAATAATTGATAATTAAAATATAGGTAGGTTGATACTTTACTTAATTATATATTTATTTTAAATTTTTTCTTTTATTCTTTTAGTATGATCAATTAGTAGGTACCTATTAGTGGCACCGGACTTTAAAAATAATGGTCTGGCGAATTTAAAATTCAATGACCACAATCAATATCTCTGGCTTTTAGTAATAAATAAATATTAAATCTATTATCTTAAATCTATTTGGAACAGTTTTAATTTGTTATTATATTATGATAATAATGATGCCTTTAGTCTTTGGTATTATTCTATTATAAGTACCACTATAACATGTATAGATATAATTTATAATTATATATGTATTATACACATTTTTTTTTCTTTTTTTAATAATTTTTTTTTTTTTAAATTAATTAATTTTTTAAGGAAGACCTGGAAACTGGTCATTAGCCCTTAAAGTTATATTTTTAGTTTTACATATTTAAAATGTACTATTTTTCCATAAATCATAAATTTATATTTTTGATTCATTGATTATCGTTTTAAAATGTATTGTTGCATTATAATGCTGTTGAAAATTATAGTATAATGATAAAAATATATATATATTATAATTGGTTGCATTTACACATATATATACTGTATCTTTGAAATTTGATGCACACTTTATATATTTTCAATGCAGTTTAGGGTGCCTAATCGTTGCACAGCATTTTGAAAACTTCATGCTGCACATATTTAGTGTGTGTTTGCGTGTGTGCTTGGCCTAATACAACGGCCACATAAACATAGGGCCATATACAATAAAAGTGATCTGGTCATGAATCATAGAACTTGGCGCCACTGATACTTGTATAAGTATTTTGTTTACTGGGTATTAAACAATGTTAAAGAATTAAAAATTGAAGAATATTATTGATGTATAAATAACTTTAAATATTTTGTTCAATATTTATATTTATATTTAATTCAGCAGGTGAAATAATTAATATTCAAAATGGAGGAAAATCCTGAATCAAAGAATCAAACTCAAAGTAAGGGAGTGAAAAGTTTGTTTGAAGAGGTTTCAGAGAGTAGGGAACCAAGAATATGCCAATCATCTCCTGATACAAGTGGTACTGATGTAGTCAAACCTCTAGATCAGACATTAAAATCATCTCATTTAAATACCAGTAAAACCCATGTAACTATCGAAGAAAGAGTATTACCATTATCTAATTTAGAATTGCCTAGTATTAAACTGGATGATGATTTCTTGAAAATATTGAATCGTAAAGATTCTGAAAATAATCAAATGACATCTAATGAATTAGATCATGTCCAATGGACTCTAGAGAAAATGTTAACTGATGTAATTGTAAGTAAAAACACAATTAGAGACACACTTAATTCATTAACTCTAATGAAGTCACCTTTATCACCAAGTGAAAATTTGGAAGTTATCAAACGTCCAATTAAAAAAAAAGATTCTGCCAAAACTCCACTGATAAATAAATGTTATAAACCATTGAACGTGTCAGATTATTCAGATAATGAAAAACAATCTGCAATGGAAGAAGAATCAGAAAATAAATTCTGGTCCTCAGTAGACATGTATATTAGTCCTATTACTAAAAGTGATATTGATTGGTTAGAGAACAGTATAAAGTCCTATGATCAACATGACTATTTAAGTGAAATACCACCTTTGGGTGAACATTACTCAAATATTTGGGCTGAAAAAGAATTAAAACCGGAACATGACCAAGTGGCTTGTTCAAATGCACAGTTAGTCGATCAACCATCTTGTTCAACTATGCAGACAGCTGACCAACCATCTTGTTCAACTACACAGACAGCTGATCAACCATCTTGTTCAACTACACAGACAGCTGATCAACCATCCTGTTCATTTACACAGACAGCTGATCAACCATCTTGTTCATTTACACAGACAGCTGATCAACCATCTTGTTCATTTACACAGACAACTGAGAAATATCCATTATCTCAGCGAGTCATGCCTGATGTAGTAGATCTATTACAAAAAATTAATCGCTCTGTACAAAAAGGTAGTGCATTTACACCAGTTTATCAAAGGGTTACTGGTGCCCTTTTAGAACATTTAAACATTTCTACTGATGATTCTGAAAACAATTGTTCAGATGATAATGGAAGCCTATCGCAAGAAATAAATGATGATGCTAGAACATTTTATTCAGAACAGAATATTGAAAAACAATTATATAATTTGGGTCTGTTGAATGTCAATATTGAAAATTTACCTACCTCACATACTGAATCTGATGAAATTTTAAAAGAAATAGAAAATTGTGATCTTGTATTGGCTAAATTAAGAAAACAAAACAAAAAAGACTTGACGACTATATTAAAAAAATGTCGTATTGATTACAATCAACAAAACATAAGAACCCAACTCAAAGAAGTGGAGAATAATATTTTAAATTACAGAAGACGTCCAAATGGTCATTTAACTATTGAAGAGAGAAATGCTCAAATTTATGAAGAAAATAGTAACATGCATTCATTATTAAATCAGCGTAGCAATTACCTTATGGAATTGAAATCAAGCAAGTCTATTTTAAGTGATTCAGAACCTGAAGAAATAAATATCTAATCTATTTATATAATATATATTGTGATTATCAGGTCAAATAAAGGTATTACATTGTTCATATTATATTATCTTAACTGTTAATAAACTACAAAGTTATTATATTTTGTTATTGTCTTATGGTTTATTTTTTGTCAGTTTACATAATATTATGTAAACAATTATATTTTTAGGATTATGATTAATTATAACAATATTTAGGTATATTATGAAAAATATATATATATACAGTAGAAATTGGGACACATTGGGCGGTGACCTATTGTCCCCATTAACCGAATCAGCACTTGATTTTTCTCCATGAAATTGCTTGAATTTAATATTATTCCGGTCCTTCCAACGAATTATACAACCTTCTGTGGCCTTAAAATTACCATGTCCAATTGTTTCAGCAAAAAATTCAGCTTTCTGCTGTAACATGGGGCCCGAAATATGAACACCACGTTCTGTAACAGCAGAAAACCATTCGTTCATAGCTTTGTCTACTTCGGGATCTTTGCCTTCTCGCTTTCTTTTTCTGTTTACAGGTGCAATTTTGTTGTAGTTTAATTTTTCCCACTGTTTTTGAATAGCTTTTTTATTATTTTTCAATCGGCTTAGTACTGATTTAGAGGTGCCTATTATTTTCTCTAACTCACGAAGACCGGAAAAATGAGGTTGAGCTTTAATTTTATTCAGATTAGAAATTTTTTCAATCAATGTTAAATCTTTATGAGACATAATTGTTACGTATTAACACAAACTGAGATCAATAAAAACACTCATACGTTAACACGCAGAGAGGAAAGAACGCAAACTAAAGTTTTTCAATTTTGTAAGTAGGCTAGTCAACTCTTATCGTGGTAGTAGAAGAAAAATAAATAATTACCTATATAATAGAGCTATAAAGATTAGATAAATGATTGACATAATTGACATTACCTATATAATAGAACTGTAAAGATTAGATAATTACAGTTTCGATAAGAAGTAGATAGATAATTTAGGTCAGAATATCTAATTAGACGCTTTTATTTTGTCCCTTATAACCAATGGTTTGTCCAAGATAAACGAAATTAAATCGCCTAAAATAAATACATTCGTTCGGGACTATGCCAATTCATCCCCATTAAGCGGTTGTCCCCTTTATGTGGTGTCCCAATTAAACGGATTCTACTGTATATATATTTTAATTAATTTATTATTTGAAATAATCTAATTTGTCACACTAATTTATAGTATTAAAAAAAACTGAGACTATTGATTATTGTAACTGATCACTGTTATAGGTGATGTTAACTGATGTTGATAATCAGAATAAGATTTTTGGAAGAAATTTGTTTGCAAATAGAAAAGAAACACAACATAGTAAAATCAATGCATTCTTTACTATATGACTTGTAGTACATTTTTGTGAGTCTATGTCTAATTTAGTTTATACAATTGGATGAAAGTATAATTCATGCCCATAAAAGTATTTTATATGCAAATAAACAAATCAGTTATTACTATATTTATGTTTAATGTTTATCATACAATTAAGGCAAACAGTAAATTATTAAAATAATAAAGTAAAAACAAAATTATTAAAATGGTAAATAAATATAAAAATAAATAAATGAATGAATGTTACCTTGAGTATTATAAGTTTATTATATGACCCATTTAGAATTAAAAATTCATCATCAGGTATATCATAGTCAAAATGTAAAATGGGACTATTAACAATCTTTACAACTTTTTTAACCTAATACACTTATCATAATACCCCAGGCCAGGAATTTGTTAATAAATTAATTTTTTATTTCTATATGTACCTTTTTTATTTATATATTTATTTACTAGTATTAACTATTTAACAATTTTGTTTTTACTTTTTTATTTTCTTATTGATAAATAAACGGTACTCTCAGTCTAGTTTATTTCATTAGAGTTGTTTATTAAATTAGAAAAAAAAAAATTGGAAAACAATCTTAATGTTGGTGAATTTTTACATTCTTCGGATCTAAATATGCCATGTATTTTAATGAATTTACTTCATTGGAATTAAAAGGAAAACGAATGAATAATAGTCTGGCATATTTCACCAAAAAGTTTAAACAGTCTATTTGGAATAATTCTTTATCTTATCGGGTTAATAAATTATTTTAAAATGCCACAACTATAGGCCCTAAGTATATATGTTTACATATATACTTAAGTAGTAATTTTTATAATTAATAATAATTATAATATAATATTATATATTATAATTTATAATAAATATAGTAATTAGTATTGATTCAATATATTCTGTTTTATACAGCACTGTAAAATGAATTTATATGCTGAAGCAATTCCATCATAGAGCAAATATAACTTATGAGTTTTTGACTGAATTTCAAGATTTACATTAACTATGTAGGTAAAATAAAACTTAAAATCTTTAAATACAATTGGTTTTTTGGGTATCTAATTCATTTGAAATGTTGATTTAATTTTACACATAATTACATTTTTCCAGATGAAAATAGGATTGCAGAGCCTTGTATTGTTTTAAAACACGTTAATAAGAAGAGGCACCGCATACCTGATAATCGTAAAAGTTTATGTGGCTTTACATCTTGGAATATAATGTTATAGTATCGATAGAATACACACTATTATTAGAGAAAAAATTTGGAACTGGCACAGTGCTGAACTATATTAGTATAATTATTTTTATAATATCATGAAATCATGAAATATAATACCAGAAACAAACATTAGTAATTTATTCATAATCAATATTATTATTCTAATAGTGTCATAGATATTAGTTTCATCAATTCTCATAACTATTCCCTCCATATTCTAGATCAGCGTTCCCCAAACTTTTTTTCCGTCGGACCCCTTAGAGATAGTAAAAATGATCGCGGACCCCTCCCCCCTTATACCCTTTTATGCCACAGTATTTACGTTCTTATATATTATGCTATATAGTATTTTCNACATTAGTAATTTATTCATAATCAATATTATTATTCTAATAGTGTCATAGATATTAGTTTCATCAATTCTCATAACTATTCCCTCCATATTCTAGATAATTAATAATACTAAATTATTGGTCGGAGTGTTAACACTAAAAACTGATAACTCGTACAAATGATAACCACACTTTATCACAGTAATTTACTTTTCGTGAGGTAATGGTAGGTAATAAACAATTTATTTTTACCTATGGAGGTAATACTTAATTGTATGGTTGCACTGAATGTGTTCGTATTATGCACAAAACTAAATTTTCTGAGAAATCTCCCAACACCTAAAAATCACGAGATTTGGGGAAAAATCCCCAAACCTAACCTAATCTAAAATAATTTTATTCTACATGCCTAACCCCCTACAGATATTAGAGATACGTGTAATTTATAATAAATTTAAAATATATGTCATTATATTATAACGAGTTTAGTTAAAAAAACGTGGCTTATTCATAAAAGTGGTTAAATTAAAAAATAGACCACAAAGACATTCTAAATATTTTAATATCAAAATGAAAAATAATTATCTACCGTGAATTTTACATAGATAATAATTTTCTATAATATCATTATAAATATTCATTTCTATTTTCTTTATTATCTATGGAATTCTAATAAACTACAAAATAAATGATCAGGATCGTTAATCCGGATATGCACTGTTTCATATTTACCAGAAAGGCAGAAATACCAGTGGATATCAATGACAGATCCTCTTCTATAAATTTTAGAGTTTAGACTTTGTAGTTTGTATTGTTAATTAATAACATCTATTATAATGTCGATGGTTAGAAGATAAGTGAGTGAAAGTGTCACTTTTTTCAAATCTATCTTTTTGTATATTGTCGTAAACGGTAAAATTTTACATAGATGATATAACATAAACATCGATATCACTTATTTACTATTAACAATCGATATTTTAACATGTGGTAGTAAACGTCATAGAATTGGAAGTATTGAAAAAAAAAATGGTTCTAAACGTCAATTAAAAGACATAAACAGCATTTAGTGAAACGTGATATAAAAGAAGTGTCATTGTTGGCAATAACATTAATTTATTATATTTATATTTAACAACATTGTTTGGTGAGTTGTGTATTATTTTTTATTAACACGTTTATGAATCTTTTTAATAATATTTAAATTAAAATTATTTGTATGGGTTATATTATAGATAATATTGAGCTTGTATGGATAATTATGTTTATTCAATGGAATACATTCAACCCTATAGAATATTGAATTAAAAAATGATATTTTTTGAGAATAAGAGTGATTAGAATCATGTGGTATTATAGCATCAGTTTGTGTAGGTTTTATGTAGTTACTAAAATCATATTTATTGTTTATTATGGAAACTGTAAGATCTAAGAAATTAAATTTATTATTCATTTGTATTTCAAGTGTAAACTGAATGTTTTAATTTATTTTGTTTAAGTAGTAGTTAATTAAATTGTCTGCTTATCTATTTGAATCTCTAAACAAAATGATTGTGTCATCAACATATCTATAATATGCTTTTATATATGTACTGTATATTTTGTTTATAAATAATGTTAACTATTCTAGCATGAAATATCAAAATAATATGTCTAACAAATTCCCTAAAATTCTAAACAATAATATAAATAATGTGAAAATCCCTTTTAAGACTAATAATAGTTTAATCAAACATGTTTTAAAAAATAACCATAATATAAGTTTTGATATTAATAGATTTAGAAATATTTAATACCCAAAATAACATTTACATTAATTCAGTTTTTCAAAGATTTACACATACACAATGAAATAAGGAAAAATAATTTTAATATTTTAAATGTTCAAACTGATTTTAAAAATAATATCTTATATCTATACATTTTGGATAATAAATAATAACCAAGTAATTTATATTTCTTAACATATCTTTTCTAATAATAATCCATTTTAAATAATCTCTCATCTTCTTTCTTCTTTTGGGTTAATTCGGCTGCTAGGACCATCCCGTCTCAACCAATTCTCCAGCCCTTTCTATTCATCGCCAAATCCTTCCAGTTCCTTCTTAGTAGAGAGTTCTGGCTCTGCATTGCATGCCCTGCCCATCACAACATTCTTTTCTTGATCGTCTCTGCTATGTTATTTTCATTTTTTGTAGCTCTGTTTTTCCTTCTCCACTCTCCTGTGATGTCATCTTTTATTAGACCAAAGATCTTTCGTGATATTTTACTTTCTAGTATTAAGAACTTATTTTCATCTGATTTCCTTAGTGCCCAGGTTTCCGATCCATACAATATTACTGGTCATATTAAGTATTAAATATTCACTTTACAAATATAAAAGAGCCCAATACTTGTGTAATAACAAAATTATTATAGCTATTACATTATTTTTATAAAAAATTTTATATTATAAAGAGAGTGAAGATGTATTTCGGTATTATAGTTGGCGTTAAATGTTGATAAAAATTTTTAAAAAATGAAATATTATTATTAATAGAGTAATGAAAAATTTGGTTTGTTTTGTTTCTTCAGGTGATAACGAACAAATTATTTGAAGACCATCATCAACAACTTACAATGTTTTCACTTGCAAAGCTGGCTTATTTCGCACTCCCCAAATTAGACTTTGAGTATTACATTTGAAAAAAGAAGCAATTTGCATGTGGCTCCCTGTTGCGATTTATTATACCAACTTTTAAAAAACAAAAATTGTGAATTTAATTTATTTATAGTACATGAATGTATATTCAAAATGGGGCATTTGGACTGCTTAACTATTTTTAGCAGATATTTGAATGAAAAATTTCCGGACAATGATTCCAATGATGACAGCATTGAGAATGATGAACATAATATATAGATGTGAACATTTTATTTGTGGATTTTTTTTTTTTTTTTTTAAATTGTATTCTATATTTTCTATAGTAAGAACCATAATTAATTTAGTTAAAAAATGTTTTACTCATACTATATTATGCTATTATCCATTTGGAAAATCTCTAGCTTAAAGACAATTTTAAATAATTTATATTATGCATGTATTAATTTCAAAACATATTACAAAATTATAAGTAATAAATATATATTATAGTACTTCAATTTACATGAATAAAGAAATTTTTTTTTCTACAAAAGGTATTTAGAAATCAATAATATTAAACATGTTTAAAATATGACTGAGAATTAAAACATTTTACAATAGTTTGTTTTAATGTACTTAAATTTGTGATAAAACTAGTCATTTTAAAATAATTTACTGTAAATGAAAGTTAGTAGGTAGGTAACCTAGTTATTATAATAGGTTATAAATTATGTTTATACATTTGAACAATTAAATACAACTGCATTATTAAAAAAAATATATCGTTTTATACAGTGTACAAAATTTATTCTATACAATTTGCTCTAATTAATAAAAAATTACAAGGGACCTTTTTTGTGCATTTTGGATCTAGAAATCATTTTTGATTTTCTAAATAATTTTTATAATAATTGGAATTCCTAAAACAGATCGAATTAAAGAGTGTTTTTTGATCATTTTAGCAACCTACATTTATTTTTTATATGTACAACTTTGACACTTTCTAATCTAACACCTAACTATGGTTACCTCTAAGCAGTCATTATAAAATAATTATAATTAGTATTAAATAATTAATTATTTATAGTTGACTTAAATTAACAAGTTAGTTAAATTAGCTTTAGAACTAGTTGGTGAAATTGTATTTTCCTCTTCCTCCAAAGAAAGTGAGGCTAATGGTCATGACTTTGAACTTATAGTACCCTTTGTAACTGCGAAAAATGTAATACTTGGAATGCAAAATTATGTTGAAACTATTGTATCACGGTTAGGTTAGGTGGACAGTTTAAATCTTATTTCAGGTTATAACTTTAATAAATTAATGTTTATAAACAGAAATTTACATTTCGATGAAGCTCAACCAAACTTTGCTCGAAATTGTTATTTTCCAAATATTATTATGCTATGTATAGAATACTACTAATTTTTGAATTCATTTTTACAATAATTCTACCGAAATTGGTTAGGACAAATACTAAAATACTAAATAAACAAAAAAACAAATGGACATACTTCTAGTGACTCTATAGAGTACTATATATAGTCTCTATAGAGTTGAGTACTATATTTAACATAATATTTAAGTTTTGAACTCAAAATAATTTGTTGTTATAAATAAATGTAATAGATATTGTTAAATGGCATTAAATAAATTTATAATTTATATACAATATGTTGACTAAGAATGTCTAATGTCATTTCCACTTATATTAGCTTAGAAGACTACACATATATTATACAAATGCATTAAAACAGTATAATTTAAAAGTTGAATTAATTTTGTTAGAATTTACTAAATAATAATTAATATAATGATAATATGAATAATAACAATAATTAATAAAAGTTAGATGACCAAGTTCAAAATACTTTTATTTTAAACAGCGTTTTGCAAGATTTAATAAATAATATTTTCTATATTAATGTTTTCATTTCGATGAATATTTAAAAGTTTAAGTCAGTTAGCCTCTGCTCAACATTTTTTTTACTACAAAGTATGACTTTTAATGAACCTCATGTTAAATTCTCAAGCATCTCTGTTTGGTCTAACAATTTGATCCACAGAGTACCTACTGATTTATTATTAAAACAGCTTGAAAAATTAAAAAATTGCTTCTCTAAAATACTACTTCTATCAGATTATCTCTAAGAAAAAGTGCTATCATTGTCAATTGGATCATAATTGCTGGTAAAAAAGTGGTTCACAGATTAAAAAAAATTAATAAACGCCATGTAAATCCATTAGCTTCTTCACTCCACTCAGAATCTAAAAGTTAATACCTACTTACCTAATGATAAAGATAATGAATGTTTTACTGAGGATTTATAATTAGAATTAATATACCTATATACCTACATCATACTCTGTATATGGAACGAAATGTCTATTACTATGTATACAGGGTGTTTTTAGATTCTGAGTGGTACGAAGAAGCTTATGCTTTTACCATATGACCATATTTATCAGATGAAAATCTGATAAATATATTATATATATTAATATATATATATATATATAATATATATAATTATCACCTGTATTGATTAGTTGTGAAACAAGATAACCCTCTACTATATCAGTTGTAATAGCATTTGAGATTACTTGTTAAAATTTTGTATTATTAAAAGCAATATTGTAAACAACTATATTGTACATATTATAAGATTGCACAATATTGAATGATTGAAATTCCCTAATTTTCATATTCAACCAATCAGCCATGATAAAAAAAAGTACCTATAGTAATGAGAAATATCTAACAAATGAAAATTTAAAAATAATAAATATGAACACGACAAAAAAGTGTCCAAAATTAATATTAATAAATATAGGTAGATACTCATTCCAGGAATTACATAGAATGTAATCTCAATTTTAGATATTTTCTTTTTTTGTAAAAATTGATTAGGTACCATTTATCTCCTTATCAGTGTGTATTATTTGATATCGTGTAGTAACCACAATTTAAGATAGACGCAAAAATTCTCAACTTAAAGTCTTAAAAGAAGCAGTGAATCTTACTGAAATTATTGTTGCTCAGTGGTGTTCTCAGGAATTTTCAATGGGGAGGGGGTTGTCGGTAATTTTTAGAAAAATATGTAAGGGGCTATTGGTGCACCCTTCTAGTGATGACATTTAATATTATTTTTAATAAAAAACGGTACAAAATGAAACAAATATTATTAAAGTAAATTTTTAATGCATATGTAATTATTTACCATAATATGATATATATATATATATATATATATATTGATATTGTTGACAAAGTAATACTATTAACTGAACTCCGCTCAGAATCTTTTTTTCGTTAGTAATGATTTACCGTTACTGACAGATGTACATAAAACTCCCTTCAGTATTCTACCTTTCCAACTTCCCACCTAAACCAGTGGCTGCATCCACTTCACTTATAAAGTATATTCATTTTTTAATTTTGCTTCTTCCCAAGTTATTGTGAACTGTTAAACTTAAATTAATATTTTTTTTTATAATTTTAAGGAATTTATCTAAAGCAATATTTGGATTAAGATTTAGAAAATCCAGACTCCCAGTTTATACCAGATTGTGTGGTTGTTAAAGTTTTTATGCGCAAAATCCAAGTTATAATCATTATTCATAATAACAGAATATAAACTATTTAAATTATCAATAGTCTGTTACATATTACATTTTAAAATATAAGCACGAATATCATTTTATTGACATTTTTAACATAAATATGATCAATACAAGAACTACTAGAATTTAGTACGTGGGTTTGTTCCTTAATAGTTTTATAAAAATAAAAGGTGGTCTTTGCATTGGAATAATTTAAGACATGATCATTATTATCAGATGAATTAATATTAACGGCATCACAAATAAAAGTATTTTCTTTTTGCTTTTATTAATATATAAATATGTTTCAAGAGATTCAATAAAATTAGTTGTATTAGTAAAAGTAAGGGATATATATAAACCAAAAATAATACATGTTTGTATTTTATTATATCCATAGAGTTATATTTTTGTAAAGGCATAGTTCTACAGATAATTATTTTATATAAATTATTTACTAATAAGGTAATCAGCCTTATTAGCAATAGTATAAGAATGAAATAATTTATATCCATTTATTATTAAATTGAAATCTATATCAAGCTAAGTTTCACAGAGTATAATAATGTAAACACGATCTTCTATGGAAATTAATGGAAGAAAAAATTAATTTATGTGATATATCATTTATTTTCACAGGTATTCAAATTATATTTTATTCTCTCTCTCTACATATATAGCACTATAGCAGTATCTATTATAATATTTTTACAAGAAATTTTACACATTAATATAATTTGTACACATTATTAATTTTATTTCTAATCATACCCTTACGTCTCTGACTAATAAGTTATAATAATCTAGGTATTAACAGCTGTAAGATTATTTGCAAATGGCTTTTATCAATAACAGAAAAATCGGGAAAATCGGGCTTCAATTTAAAGTCAGTGAGTAAATGCATTAAAAATTTTTGTAACGCATTAAATATGTGAACATTTTAAATAAATATATAAAATGTATGTGACATTATATAATTAGTCATAATAGATAAGAGTCAGTGTTACAACAATTTAATAAATATCATATTTAACGTCCGAATACCTACCGCTTGTTTACGTCTACTCTAAGCGCCTGCTGTTTTCGCGAGTTGACTAACCGCAATTTGATACCGGATTCTGAACCTGCATTTCTTCAACGACATTTTCGTCCTTGTTAGAACTCGTCAAAATAAATCTTAAGTATTTTAAAAATAATTTCCAAAGTAGAACGTTCTTATCGACCCTAAGCTCTGGTAATCTTTCATTCGGCTTCTTATTATACATTTGTGCTTATTTAATGCTTATTTAACGCCTTATAGGCTTTTTTATCAATTTTAGGAGTCACTGGGCTCTCTTATTTATTGATAACGAAATATACGTACGGCCGAAGAGGGAGTGTACCATGTGATTTCACATAATCTGTAATTGTAGTTATTCCTCATAATCATAACATGTCAACATAATTACTATTTTGATGAGCATTATTATTTAACGGTAATCTAAAAACAATAAAAAATTAAAGTTCAGTATTTATATACTATTTATTTACTTAGTTCTTCCCTAAATGTATGTAATAACAATTTTGAATTTTGAATAACGGCATAACAAATTATTTATTTTGCATTTCAATCATGTGTGAGATAACTAGTGACAATTTTTATTCTGAACTGCCAGTCATCGAAGCAGCAATAAATGAATCGTC